AAGAACATCCAAGACAACAGGGTGCACTGCTGCCTGTACTTCATCTCACCCTTCGGCCACGGGTATGGTCCGAGCCTGAGGCTCCTACAACCACCGGGTGCTGCCAAGGGAACAGGCCAAGAGCACCAGGGGCAGGGCTGCCACAAGCAGGTGGTCACAGATTCCTGTTCCCCAGGCTCCGGCCATTGGATGTTGAATTCATGAGGGCCCTGCATCAGCGGGTCAACATCGTGCCTATCTTGGCTAAGGCGGACACACTGACACCTCCCGAAGTGGAGCGCAAGAAACGCAAAGTGAGGGAAGCTGGTGCGGGGAGGGGAGCAGGTGGGCTTCTGGAAAAGATGGGGTCCCCAGAACTTTGGGCCCCTCCTGTGTTTGCCAGATCCGGGAGGAGATAGAGCATTTTGGCATCAAGGTCTACCAGTTCCCAGACTGTGACTCTGATGAGGATGAGGACTTCAAATTGCAGGACCAAGCCCTCAAGGTGGGGCCACCCCAGGGCATCCCTTTCCCACCTTGTTTCTTCTGGGCAAAAGAAAGAAGTAGAAATCTATACAAGGGGGGCTCTTCGGGGTGGGAGAGAACCCTGGTTTCCTACAGTGAGGCAGAGAAGATGAAGACATAGGTGGAAAGGAACAGGTGAGAATGGGGGATGGTGACAGATGCTCCAAACTTCTTCCAGGAAAGCATCCCATTTGCCGTCATTGGCAGCAACACTGTGGTAGAGGCCAGAGGGCGACGAGTCAGGGGCCGTCTCTACCCTTGGGGCATCGTGGAAGGTAAAGCACTGAGCTTGTGACTAGGATACTTCCTTGCCCTCAAGTGACTCTCCCTACCCAAGCCCCTGGCTGACCCCTAGCCTTGCTATGCAGTGGAAAACCCAGGGCACTGCGACTTTGTGAAGCTGAGGACAATGCTGGTGCGTACTCACATGCAGGACTTGAAGGATGTGACGCGGGAGACACATTATGAGAACTACCGGGCACAGTGTATCCAGAGCATGACCCGCCTGGTGGTGAAAGAACGGAATCGCAAGTATGATCAAAAGCCGGGACACAGCAGGCAGGGGGACTCAATCCCAAGCACAAGCCTTGGGTGAGACCGAGCCCTTCCTTTCTGCTTTTCTTTTACAGTCCCTGGGCTCAATCCAAGTAGGTGTTGGGGTGCCCCTAGGCTCACCAACCCCCCTTTCCCCTTTCCCTCAGCAAACTGACTCGAGAGAGTGGTACCGACTTCCCCATCCCTGCTGTCCCACCAGGGGCAGATCCAGAAACTGAGAGGCTGATCCGAGAGAAAGATGAGGAGGTGAGAGCAGTATGGGGTGGTAGGGGTTGACGGCCTGGGAGGTCCACTGCTTGATCATAAACCTCAGTATCTTTCTGTCTGGGAATAGGGAGATCCCTGGCCCCGGTGCATATCTGAGACCTGGATTGGTGGATTAGTGGTTCTACCTAGGGTCTATATTACACCCCAGGACTACCCAGGCACCAGGTCAAGGGATTAGTGCTTGGGGACACTCCCTGACTCTATAGGGTGTAATGGGTGCCGAAAGCACCCATTTTGATGCATGTGCCTGTCCCAGCTGCGGCGGATGCAGGAGATGCTGCACAAAATCCAAAGACAGATGAAGGAGACCCATTAGCTGGCTGTCAGCCCTGGATATTTAAATCTCCTCTTCGCCTTGCCCATACCAGCCCCTCCCAGCACCAGCTCTGCTCAGGCCCCTGCAGCTACTGCCACGTCGCCTTACATCCTTGCTGCCTCCCTAGAGACTCAGAGGAAATAAAGTTTAACAAATATATAGGTGGCTTCTGGTGTCGCTGTCTGTATCCTTACCACCTCGTGGAGACCAAGAAGATCCTAGGACTCAGTTTTAAAAAGCTGTGTGAGGAGGGTGCTAGTTTATGACTTCTACAAGGAAGGGGGAGTGGGGAAAGCTTTCTCTCTCATGATAGGGTTCAGTCCTTGTCTAGAATCCAGTCTGGCCTCTCCTTTTTACTGACCATACCTATCCTGCCTCTCATATCTCGAGCCTGGGACTCTCTTCATTTTTTTCACATACAGGACATTCAGTTCTACAGAAGTTTTGGATCCGATATCTTCCCTTAGGAAGACATGGTGTTAGCTGCGTGCGGTCTCCTGACTTCCTATTTCTCCTGATTTGGGGAAAGGGATATACATAATAAGCTCTGCCCTCTAGAAAGCCTGTGATAGAGCACTGAACAAATGTTGAAATCTTTGCAAACCACCAAACACTACAGTAAATGCTGGGAATGAATCAAGTAGCCACTGCCCTGGAACTGTTCAGTTTTTAACAATAGTTATTAAGCATCTTCTAGGTAGCAGACGCTGTTCCAGACCCTGGATGTAAGGCTGTGAACACAGGGAAGTGTTTCTGTCTTCCTGAAATTTACTAACTGTATAAAAGTTCCCATGTTTTATAAAGACACATTAAAATATTTTGGCTCTGAGGCCTGGCATTAAAGCATTCAGGCCCAAGTTCTAATGGTAGCTCTGAACGTCATCCAGATACACCAAGGTTTGCATGTTCAGTCACGGTCAGGACGCATGCAATAATCAACCAATGAACGCATAAATAAGATATATAAGTGGAACAACAAATCAGCACTTATCACTCAAAAAAAAAAAAAAAAAGCGTTCAGAGCCCACTCCAAACTCAAGCTATCTGTTGAGAATCTGAATCGGTTGTTCTCCGTTTCCGTCAGGGTAAGCGGTATCCCGGGGTCATCGGGCGCCCTCCAGCGGCCACCCTCTGCCCAACTGTCTGCTCTGGCTCCCCGGACAGGAAGGGCAGAGCGGAGAGCTTGGTCCTGGGAGTCCTGTCCCCACTTCCTTTACAGACTAGGAGGTGGCAACTAGCTAGTGGCAGTCTCAGATTCAGGTTTCCAATCTGTCAAATGAGAGAGCTTTTCTCAGGACTCACAGAACCATGCATGTCACGAAGGACTGCAGGGCCCGCTGGCCGATGAAAAGTGAGGGTCGAAGGAATCCGCCACGACGCAGAAGAGGAAAAATCCTCCCGCCGCCAGTCAGAGAAGACCGAGACGGAGCCTCAGGCCCAGCCCTCCTTCCTCTCTCAGCCTGCGGGGCCTTTTCTCTTTTTCCGGCTTTAGGACAAGACTATAGCAGCGAAACCAAGAGGGGAACTGGATAAACTAAGGAAATGGATAAAACAGAGATCTTTTTGAGAAATATTCCCAGGGATGGGTCGTCACCGGAAGTAGCTGTAAGGCCTGTGTCACTATAAGGCTCCGCCTCCATTGCGCTACCAGTAGGCGACAGGCCTCTCCCACTTCCGGCCCCTGGAGCTTTAGCCAGCAGCCCCCCTTTTATTGCTCTCCCATTGGCTGTCGCAGGGACGCGCTGTGATTTCCCATTGGTCGCGTCTCTTCTCCAGCGCCTCACCTCCTCCAGGTACAGTCTGGTCTTCTGGCATCCGATAGGCTAAAGCTTGGGAGGGCGTCTGCCCAACTTGACCAGTGAACAGCGAAAAGGGTGGGGGCGGTGACTACGTAGTGGGGGCAGGGCGGGACATGGTGTGGCGATTGGCCAGCGCGGGCACAGACAAGAGATATGATTGGTTGTGGAGTGGGGCACCGTTGTGGGGTCGGAGCTGCGCGGCCTCAACAGCTGCGGGAGACGGAAGTGGTGAGAACGCGGTCTCGGAGGGTCGGGCGGACGCCGCCTGGGTGAGTCACCGTGCCCCATGAACTGCCAGTCTGGGATCCGCAATGACCGTGTTTTCCCCGGTCCCGCCCCGACCCCACCGGCTTTCGTGAGCCCCGCCCTCTGTCATTCGGGCTCCGCCTCCGGACCTTTAGGCTCCGCCCCTAGAACCTGGGCACCTGGGCTCCCCAGCCGGCCTGGCCCGCCTCCCCCCCCTCCCAGGGCCAGACCCCTTAGGTCTAGGAACCCTGGGCCTCCCAGGCTTGGTCCATGTTTTCTCCCTCCATTCCTCTGAGGCTGCGTGCCAGTGGGCGGTGAGGCAGCACCTTTGGCTTGCCGCTTGCTGGCTCCCCCATGAGGAAGCGTGGGCTGTGATCAGGGAGGTGGGCAGAAGCACAGATGGAGGCTTTTACCCATGCACCCTTGGAGGCTGGGGGTGGGGGTGGGGAGTACTACTAGAGTGCCCGAGCTCAGATAGCAGGCATAAAAGTGTAAGTGAAACCTGGGCCTCGCTCCCTAAGTGGGCCAAGGATGCCCATTCTGAAATTTGTTGCTTGTGCCCATTTGATAAGTACTGACTCTGAGGCCAGGGCTGGTCCAATTCTATCCCTGTTTTGTGGCCTCCTTACACTAACCTGCACCCCACTTAGTGTCAGCTATACTCAACAGGACCTATCCAGCGCTGCTACCTTCTGATCACAGGTTGTGATCCCCTCCCTCTTGTCCTCTGGTCTGGACTCTGCCCCTAATAAACAGGTCAGGTGGGTGCTACTCCCAGACTCAGAGGCTTGGCAGAGCATTCCTGTGGTTTCATGTCCCCACAGGGGCCAGAAGTGAGTCCTAGTTGAGCAGCCTCTGTCTCTTAAGAGTTGGCAGTTCTTTTGTTCTCCCACAAAGAACAGGGTTTGGAGTGTTTTCTACTTTTCCTTCTGGGCCTGGGAATCAGGACTCTTGAATTCTGCTGAATAATCTTGGATAATACTTTATTGCTCCAGAACCTCGTGGCTGATTTCATACCCTGCAGAATCACTTGTTGCTTTCTCCCCATGAAGCTCCCCTGACTTGCATGCTGACTTGTGGAGAGGCTGGATTCTTTGTGAGGAAGGAGAGTAAGAATTGTAGAACAGTTCAGGAGTAGATGCATATGTGGCACGTGTTGATTCTATGGTGGTGTTAATGGTGTTCTCTAGTCATATGTTTCTCTGTCTCCTTACAGTGAGAAGCAGGCAGCCAGAACCCTCACCACGGTAGAATGGTGAGTACTCTCTTTCCTCGGACTTTTGTGTTTTTTGTAATTCTTGTGTCTTTCTCCATGAAGCTTCCCCGCCCCTCCTGGACCTTGAGCTCCAGGCTACTCTGTTCAGCTCCTAAACAGGTTCATCTGCTCTCAGCCAATTTATGGGTCTGGGACAGGAAGTCTTTAGTCTTTTTTGGCATGCCTTATTCCATGCCTTCCTCACACTACCACTGGCTCTCTTAGCCTTTCATAATGGTCCTTCCTTTGCATCCCTGAGAGAAGCTCCCTGTTGTGGTCTGGAAGCCATGCCTTCTTTATCACAAGACCCTTGTTTTTCCTAGTGGGGCCCTTGAATACCATGGGAGCCATGTTGGGAGTGACTTCACCAAAACTGTGGGGCTTCTCCAGCTCCAAGGTGCTCCTGTCTGTTAAGCTACTGCAGGCAACAGAGGACTAGATATATAGCAGGATGGTGCCCTCCAGGTGCCCAGAGTATCTCTGGGGGTGGTGGGAGTGGTTATAATGATCCCCTGTATTTTCCATGAACTGTAACTACATACTTTCATTCTAAGCCTGAAGTCTCACCAGTAAAACAGGATAAGGCTTACTTCTTGGGGAGTTGAAAGGTTTTAGTGAGATAAAGTTCGAAACATATCTGTCTGGCTCATAGTAGATGCCTAATAAAATGTTGTTTTTCTCCCATTTTTCTCTTCCTCCAAAACCCCAACCAAAATCCAGACCTAAACTCAAGTCTAAACTAAAGCTTTGGTTTCTGAAAGTTACTAGGCACAAGAAGTGTGGAGTACAAACCAGCTCCTTCTGTGACTCTTGGTGACATTTTGGGCTCTTGTCACTGCTCCTTATTCCTTGGCCCTCTACCCAACCCCCACCATGCCCCTTCCCTTGGGTTTCAGGTTTTGTTTTCACATAGTTTCTGTGGTGTGTAGTTCCAGCTCTTCTCTTTATCAACCTAAGAAATTCTTTCTCTTCCAAGACTTTCTTACCCAGAAGTTAGAGGATGTGAAACAAGGAGAGATGGAGCAGAAGGGGTAGGGTTGGGCAAGGGCCTTGGAATAAAACACTCAAAGAATCTCTTTTTCAGGAGTGTGCAATGACCAATCTGGCAGTAGCCCAGTGTCCATTGTAAGGAGCAACCAGGGAGTAGGATTTAGTGAGGTCGGGGGATTGGAGGACACTGATGGCCAGGGGTACGATGGGTGGTGGTTTTGGAGGGAAACGACGAAGCCTTCAAACTGGAAAGGGCATGAGGTGTAGGTAGGTGAGAATCATCTTGGGAATTAAGAACAGGCACCAAAGGAACTCAGAGGTGGGGGGAGGTGTGGAGCGAAAGGCTGGGTTTGTGAAAAGAGGGATGTGAGGTTGCTCACCTGGGAAGATAGGAAATGAGAAGATGTAGGCGTCTCGCCTTCCCCTTTCACGCGGTCTAGGGACTGTCCTGCAATCTAGTCTCCTGAAAGCCCCTAGACGTCCCCTGGGGATGCCCTCCCACTTGCGACTGTGAGGCTGCGGGGAGGGAGGAGCCTGCGGCTGTGGGCGGGTCCTCGAGACCCGCCCCCGCCTTCCCCGCGCGTTTTCGGGCTCTCTCCTCTCTTGGCTCCCCTCCCTTTCGCGCTTGTGCCGAAGGGCGGAGCTGGGCTTGCTCCATTGTGGAGAGGAGGGGAGAGGCAAGCGGGAGTCCAGCGGAGGCCTCGCAGCCAGCGCGCTTGCCTCCTGGCCGCAGCGGCTGCACCTGGCGGGCCCCGCAGCCGGGATGCAGCGAGAGCCCGGGGCTAGTGGGCAGCACAGCGGCTCCGGGGACATGTGCGCTGGCCCAGACCTCCCGCGACCATGAGCTTGACCGCCCGGGTTTCCTGCTCCATGCTCAGCTGCTTTGTAAGTGCCGCCCCGTCTGCGTGGGCCCTGGGGCCCCAGCGCTTGCTGCACCCTCAGCCCCGCCCAGGGCCAGCCTTCGAGATTCCGAATTTCGGCCCATCCCCCTTCCCAAGTCCTCTGGAAAGAGAGGGGGGGTTATTCCTTTTCTTTCTTGGATTTGCTTTGATCTTCGAGTGCTGGGGATTGTCGAAGGCCAGGGATGGAAATTCTGTGACCCGTTCTGGTCCCATAGCCACTGCCCTTGACTGCAGATCTCCAGGCTCCGCCCTGCAGGGGTACATTCCTTTACCTCCGCCTCTCCATCTTGGTCCCACCCGCTGCATTCTTGGTAGGGGATGTGGGATGTGGCTAGTAGGCCCTCTGGGATGTTAGCGGGGCTGGTTGGGGAGCACAGGATGTCTGAGCTGTCTCCCTGGCTCCAGTCCCCTCCCCCTTCGGCCACTCCATCCCTCACCTAGCACGACAGTCTTTTCTCCTTGACTGTCCCCCAGACTGCCTCTGTTCTCCATCTTCCCTGGCTCGGCGGGCTTCCGTCCCTCTGCATCATTCCCAGCCCTCCCCTCCTCCCCTCTGGTTTAATGCTTCTTCCTAGCTTCCCCATCTGTCCTCTCAGATGTTCCCACCCTCCCCTCCTCACCCTCTGTAGGTGTCTGCCAGGCCTCTCTACCCTAGTTGTCCTTGGGTCTCCCCGTCCCTCCTAGGCGCGTGGATTCCCTCTCCCCTCCTCCCTGGTGGTTGGGAGAGGAGTGACTTCTGCTTGCTGTGGGTTTCCTCAGGAATTCCCCTCGGATCAGCAGGTAGGGCAGGTGGCTTGGCAGGTGTTGGGGGCTGGGTAGCAGTGTGAGGAGATCAGCTCAGCTCCAAGACACATCCTTTCGAAAGCATCGATGAAGGCCCTCTAGAGGCACAGGACTGAATCCCCCAGCCCAACTCCTCTTTGTTTCCTTCTCCACTGGATTGAAGCCTCAGTGGCCTTAGGTGCCTGCCTGCCTTCCTCTCTCTCTAACCAGCTGCCACACAGGGCTCCTTTTCCTCAGGACAGCACTTCCTGTTCCCACTTCTGTCTTTCCTTTACATTAGTCTTCTTTTTCTTAGGTTTCGCTCCTCCTCCAGTTGGGAAATTTTGGTTCTACAGGAGAGTCCCCTTTTGAGGAGCAAATTGCTAGTTCCTCTTTGACTCTTACTCTTCCCTGAGGCTTACTAGGCTTGAGTACCTGCTCCAACCTATCCCTCCCAGCAAGCCAGGTCTCCTTTCCCTCCTCTGGTGACCAGAACCTTTATAAGGGACTATGGGGTATATGTGGGTGTATTGAAGAGAGAGGAACAGAATGAGGCCTTCCCCACAGGGTGAGGAGGGGCCCCCCAGCCTGGAGTACATCCAAGCCAAGGATCTGTTCCCCCCCAAGGAACTAGTGAAAGAGGAGGAGAATCTGCAGGTAAGGAGGAGTTGGGGGCCCAGGGTGGGTGGAGTTCCTGACTTGGTTAAAAAACAAAACAAAACACCCTCCATCCCTCAAATGTCTACAAAGGGATCTAGTACTGGAGCTCTGGCTTCCTGCCCCCTGGTCTTTGAAGGGAAAAGACTGCATGTGCATTATGGAGCCTTTGGCCCCAGGGAAGAAAAGGCAGCTTTCTTGCACAGCCGGTAGCTGATGCTGTTACTGTGGAGAGGACTCTTCTGTCCTGCCCTGACCCATCTTTTCTAGAGGGGATCCCACAGGTCAGGGTCTGGGAGGGGATTGGAAGGGTGACTGAGTTCTGGACGGAGGGTTCTTCTGCACCTCTGCAGGTGCCCTTCACAGTGCTGCAGGGTGAAGGAGTGGAGTTCCTGGGTCGGGCAGCCGATGCCCTCATTGCTATCTCCAACTACCGGCTGCACATCAAGTTCAAGGATTCTGTCATCAACGTGAGTTCCCGTCATGTTCTCCCACTAGCAAGCCAGAATCCCTGTGAGGTACAAGGTGGTATTGCTCCAATGCTCTACTTGATCATGTCTCTAAAAACTTGGGGTTTCCTTCTTTTTTCTTATTTTCTGTTTTCCTGTTTCATTCCCCTAGCTATAGGTCTTCTGTCTCTCACTTATTCTTCCTTCTCTTCTTCTCTCTTTCCCTTATTCTGTTGCTGGCTTTTCTAAGGGACATAGTGGCATTGCTGGAAGAGCGCTACTTGTCAGCTTTGTAGCCTTGGTCAAATCACCCATCTGAGGCTCAGTATCCTTCTAAATAACATGGGCGGAAACAGTTGCCTTTCAGGGTTCTTGTGATTATTAATTGGGGTCTCATCCATACATAGAGGGGATTACCAGGCAGTAGACACTCAGTAAATGTCAGTTTCCTTTCTTCCATTGATACATCCGCATCAGCTGGGCCGGGGTGGGGATGGAAGGTGAGGTAGAGACCGGGGATCTGAGCTGCAGTTTGCCTTTCCTCTGAAGGTCCCTCTCCGGATGATCGACAGCGTGGAGAGCCGTGATATGTTCCAGTTGCACATCGCCTGCAAGGACTCCAAAGTGGTGAGGTGAGGAGAATGGCATCTCACTCTGGTCCTTTCTGCTGCAGGGTTTCTTTGGAGTGAGAAAGGAAAAGTAGTGCCTCACTTTCATAATTTGAAAAAAAAAAAAAAAGGTGAAAATTGTGTCTGGGTTGGGAGGTCAATTTGCTGACCCACAGTATTTTGACCTGAAGAAATGGGGGTAATACTTAGCTCATGCATCCGCAAAGGGAATAAGTGAGAAAATATGTATGAAAGCCCACAGAATGATATCTTTATTGTTTGTTCATTTATTTATTCACTAAACATACGCTTACCGAGTGTCCCATTCTACGTCAGACGTTCTGAGCACTGGGGATACAACAGGGAACAAGGAGACAAAATTTTCTGCCCTCATGTAGCTTATATTCCAATGGGGAAATACCAGGAGTAAATAATAAGTAAAAAAAACATGCTGCACGATGCTAAGTGCAAAGGTAGAAAATATAGCAGGGAAAGGGGACATTGAGTGGTATGGTGTTGAGGGTTGCAGCTTTAGACAGTGATTTGAGGAGGCTGCACTGAAAAGGCACCATTTGAATTAAGACCTGAAGAAAGAGACTGTGTGGTTGTTGGGGGTAGAGTGTGCTAACAGACAGAGGTCACTGAGCGTAGAGGCTCCGAGTGGGTCTGTACTTGGCATGTTGAAAAAACGGTAAGGAGGTTAGTGCGGCCAGAGTGGAGTGCACATGGGTGAGGGTGGTGGGGTATGAGACCTGAGAGGTCAGGGTCTTACATACAAAAGTAAAAGTAAAAAGCAAAAGTGAAAGCCAGGCTGTCATATGACTGGCTTTTACTTTGAGGAAAATGACAGGCCACTGGAGGGTTTTGCGCAAAGAAGTGATGGGATCAGATTAATGTTTTATGAAATCCTTCTGGCTGCTGTACTGGGAATAGATGGGTAGGGGGCAGGGCAAAAGCAAGGGCAGAGGTTGGGAGACTAGTTAAGACGCTATTGCAGGTTGGAGAGCGTGCTGGCCTGTGTAGGGTGGTAGCTCTACTCTTCTCCAAATACTGAGAAGCAGTCTGACTTGTGAAGGTAGAGATGACAGGTTGGAAAGAGGGAAAGAGGAGTCCGGGATGACCCCAAGGGTGCCCCATTTAGAGCCTGCCGTGTGCTCAGTCTGTAGGGATTCGGAAGGAGAACCTGCATTGCCCTTCTCTTCAAGGCGGCTAAAGTGTAGTTCTGAACGAAGAGTTAACATGTGGCAGTATGTTCTGGAAGAACTTAGCGTTTAATACCCCAAGCACACTAAAAATAAGAAAGGAAGGGTCTGTGGAACTGGGTCGGTGGGAGGATTTCCAGGAAGAGGTGGGACTGGAACTATCTCCATAGTGTCAGTAGAATGTGGCTAGACCGAGAGAAGACATCATCAGGCAGAAGTGAAAAAACGAAGGCAGGGGCAACATGAGCAGGACCTCCAGGCTGAGGCAGGTCTGCGTTCAGGAGTTGTGAGACATAAGGAATAGCGATTCTCAGGGCCACGTGAAAGCCTTTATATTTGACATGAGCAAACATGGGGCCCCAATAGAGGAGACAATTATGTCTCAAGGACAAGAGTTCTTGGGAAGAGAATGGTCACAAAGACAACTTCTCTTGGGTGTTGGTCAGTGTCCCTGATCCTCCCCGGGGTCTGTGGTACCTGCTGCTTCGCGCCCTCTTCTCCCCACAGCCTCCCTGTGACCGTTTTTGACCCTTTTGGCTCCAGCGCACACCTGCCTCTTGCCTCACTCTGTGGCTTTTTGCCTGGCAGATGCCACTTCTCCACTTTCAAGCAGTGCCAAGAGTGGCTGTCACGGCTAAGCCGGGCCACAGCGAGACCTGCCAAACCTGAGGATCTCTTTGCCTTTGCCTACCATGCCTGGTGCCTGGGGCTGACTGAGGAGGACCAGCACACCCACTTGTGTCAGCCAGGTGAGGCCGGGCTCTTTTCATTGTGAGGTTTCTTACCTGGTTCTCATCCTACGCCCGCCCCTGGACATGGTGCCCGTGGATGCTGACAGGCATGGGGGCTGTGTTGCAGGAGAACACATACGATGTCGGCAGGAGGCTGAGCTCGCAAGGATGGGCTTTGACCTGCAGAACGTTTGGAGAGTCTCTCACATCAACAACAACTACAAGTGAGAAGGCGGGGGTGGGGAGATTAAAACACCATTCCAGACCCAGCCCCCTCCCTGTGTGGATAAAGCGCAGTGGGCACAGGCCCCCAGACTCTGGGGGGAGGAGGGCTCCCAGTGCCTCTTCCCACAAAGCCATCCTGGGGATCTTGTTATCACCTTAGATCAAGCTCAGTGACCACCTGGTCTCTTCTCAGATTGTGTCCCAGTTACCCCCAGAAGCTGCTGGTTCCCGTGTGGATCACAGATAAAGAGCTGGAGAATGTGGCTTCCTTCCGTTCCTGGAAGCGGATCCCCGTGGTTGTGTATAGGTGAGGCCACGGGGGATGGAAATAGGGAGGATGTTTTTTATGCAACGAGGAAGGAGTCTGAAGTGGAGGCGTGCGGCAGTGTGGCTGACTGAGAATTGGCACCTTCCGGAGGAAGGGGCTATGAAATGATTTTAAAATAAAAACTGCCTCAGTTTCTTCTCTCCTAAGGATGAGGCTTTTGGGGAGTTTGTTCACTTTTTTTTTTTTTTTTGAGGATGTGTGTGTGTATAAAGTATTACCTTAGAACAGGGGTTGGCAAAATGGCCTTTGAACCAAAATCCTGTTTTATACACAGCCTGTGGGCTATGATTGGTTTTTACATTCCTAAAGGATTGTTTAAGAAAAATAAAACAGAAAGAAGGATGTGTGACTGACTGTGACCTGCAAAACTGAAAATTTATTGCCTGGTTCTTTGCCAATAAAGTTTGCCGACCCCTGACTGGAACACTGCAGCTAAAATAGAGTGAGACAGGTGCTGGGGTTTGGAGTTGTTCATGCTCTGGGCTCACGTTGGTTCTCCTGCTGGCTGTCTGTACCTGGAGCAGATGCTGTGCAGATACTTGATGAGTCAGGTCACCTTGGGGATGTAGAGTCCATTTGAGAAATGTGTATGGTAGCACTTTGTAAACTAGAAAGCCCCCTAGGGGTTTTTGGTTGCTATTTTCATGGCCTGGATGAACAGGTAGCCTCTGTTGGCTTTGGAGATCTTGGCCCCCTAGAGTCTCAGTATGGTGGCCTCTGGAGGCTGTGAATGCCAAGGGCATAATTTTTTTTTTTTCTGCCTCGTCAGACACCTACGCAATGGGGCTGCCATTGCACGCTGCAGCCAGCCCGAGATCAGCTGGTGGGGCTGGCGCAACGCTGATGACGAGTACCTGGTCACATCCATCGCTAAAGCCTGTGCCCTCAACCCAGGGACAAGGGCCAATGGGGGCTCCCTCGGCACTGGGAATAGTGATGCCAGTGAGGCGTGCGACACCGACTTCGGTAAGGTGTGGGTGGTGCTGGTCCTCTGGGGAGCAGGCCCCCACCTTGGCCTCACTGGCTTCCAGGGAGTCCTCAGTAAGAGGATGGGAGGAAGATACAACACAGGGGCCCCTGCCTTTTGGGAGGCTGTGGGGTATGAAGGATCTCCAGTTGTGTATTCTTCTGAAAGGGAGCGCCCTGGCATAGGGTGAGGCTGGGTGGCTGGCTGACCCAGGGTCTTCTCCCTGCTCTGTGTTTAGATGCCTCCTTGACCGCATGCTCTGGAGTGGAGAGCACAGCGACTCCCCAGAAGCTGCTGATCCTGGATGCGCGATCCTACACAGCAGCAGTGGCTAACCGGGCCAAGGGCGGAGGTTGCGAATGCGAAGGTATTGCTGTTCTCCCAGTGTCTGCAGCCAGCCTGTGCCCCAGGTAGCCTTGGTGAGAAGGGAAGAGGGCACAGCAGTGTGGCAGAAAGAGCCAAACAAACCTGGCTTGGAACCAGGACTCTGCCGCTTTCCAGCTGTAACTATGCTTAAGTAACAATCTGTTTAGGTTTGATTTTCTTCTCTGCCTAATGGGAATGATACATACCTTGCAAAGTTGTTGGATGATTAGAGGTCACATATATAAAATTACTGGCACAGAACAACAACTATTTACTGAGAATTCACATCGTCTTTACTAATACTACTTTGGCTATTGTTTGTAAATAATATTATTACTACAGTTGTTAGTATATGGCACCGGAGTATCCAGAGACAAAAGGGTGACTGAGATTTCCAGAATCTGTTTAGTTCCCATCCTGGAGTGTTCGCCCTGCCAGGGAAGCTGCTCACTGGGACGGCCCTCGTCCCGCCTGCCTGTGTCCAGGACATGCTCTCAGGCTCCACTCGCCCCTTTCCTGTCTGCAGAGTACTACCCCAACTGTGAGGTTGTGTTCATGGGAATGGCCAACATCCATGCCATCCGGAACAGCTTCCAGTACCTCCGCGCCGTGTGTAGCCAGATGCCAGACCCCAGCAAGTAGGTGTTCCCTGTTCCAGTTCTGTCCTTCCTCCAGTCTCGTCCCTTACCTACTACCTCCTGTTCTTGAAGATTAGACGGGGAGATGGGAACTGTGCAGGTGCAGGAGACCTGAGGGCCTGGGTGCAATGAGTCAGTTCCGAGAACACTTCTTTTTTGGTGGTTGGGTTTTTTCCCTAATTAAGAACACTTCTACTTCTCAGCCAGCACTGTGGCACAGCTACAAGACATTGGGTTCCTTTTGTTCGGATCAGTTGCCCTACTCATAGAACACGGAGAACTGGGGAAAGGAAGTGGCTAAATGTGCATGTGGTGCTGCCCAGTTTTTCTATTGATTCTAAGAGTCTCTTGTTGGCCTCAGGTCCTGTCTTCCTGCTACATATCTCTTGGCAGAAAGGCCATGGGCTGGGCTCTTGCTTCAGCCCTCACTAGGGGCTTTGTTAGGTGTAGCTGGCTGTGGGTGGTGGAGAGACTGTTGTAGCTTCAGCACTTTTAGTGACAGACATGATTTCTGCTCTTGTGTAGCTGGTTGTCAGCATTGGAGAGCACCAAATGGCTGCAGCACTTGTCAGTGATGCTAAAGGCAGCTGTGCTTGTGGCTAATACAGTAGACCGGGAAGGCCGGCCTGTGCTGGTGCACTGCTCAGACGGCTGGGACCGGACGCCACAGATCGTAGCTCTGGCCAAAATACTGCTGGACCCGTATTACAGAACATTAGAGGTACCGAGAGGGGTTGGCGGGAAAGACCGGAGGGAAGGGGCTGGGGAAGGTGTTCAGCCCTCTAGATCTGTCTTGAGGATTTTTAGCAGAGGCCATTTGTGCTTTGAGTCCTCTTCTAGGTTCATTCCTATTCTCTGAAGCTGCCAGCTTCTTGCTTCAGGGGTCCCCTATGGTGGAGACATTAGCCTTTCCAGAGAGGCTCTGTGCTTGAACTCTGCCTTCTTTGCAGGGCTTCCAAGTATTAGTAGAGTCTGACTGGCTGGATTTTGGACACAAGTTCGGAGATCGCTGTGGCCACCAGGAGAATGCAGAGGACCAAAACGAGCAGTGTCCTGTGTTCCTCCAGTGGCTTGATTCTGTTCATCAGCTGCTCAAGCAGTTCCCTTGCCTGTTTGAGTTTAATGAAGCATTCCTGGTAAGTTCTAAAGCCTGTGACCAGAGTGAGGGGATGGCAGCCAAGGCCCCCAGGTGTAAGCTGTCTTGGCCCTGTAGGTCAAACTGGTGCAGCACACGTACTCCTGCCTCTACGGCACGTTCCTGGCCAACAACCCCTGTGAACGAGAGAAGCGTAACATCTACAAGCGGACCTGCTCCGTGTGGGCCCTCCTGCGAGCTGGCAATAAAAACTTTCATAACTTTCTCTACACGCCTGGCTCAGACATGGTAAGCCTGAACTCTCATCCTGTAGGTGCTGCTTAGAGACCTGTAGGGAGAATAAGCCAAGTCAAGTGGGGAGGACATAGGGCCCTAGAACATCTAACAAAACACTAGTGTGGGCCCACTTCCCTAGGTCCTGCATCCCGTGTGTCATGTCCGGGCCCTGCACCTCTGGACAGCTGTTTACTTGCCAGCATCGTCTCCATGCACACTTGGGGAGGAGAACATGGATCTTTACCTTTCACCAGTGGCTCAGAGCCAGGAGTTCTCTGGTCGCTCTCTGGAAAGGTAAGATTGCCCTTCTTGCTTTCTCCTCTCTCTGCTAGAAGGCAGTCACTGCTTTGTGTCTTTGTGTCACTGCCTAAATGTTGCTGTCTCTTTCTTAAATTGCATTTTATGTTCAGTGTAATTTTGTACTAGTGTGTATGGTATATATGTATGTATTTATTTATTTTAAGCCCTACCTATATGGTGGGCATCTACTTTATTGATTGATTTTTAGAGAGAGAGAGGAAGGGGAAAAGAGAGAGAAACATCAATTTTTGTTGTTGCACGTATTCATGCATTCCTTGGTTGAATCTGTGTGTGCCCTGACCAGGGATTGAACCCCAAACCTTAGTATATTGGGATGACACTCTAACCAACTGAGCTAACCAGCCAGGGCTTGTATTAGTCTTTTTTAAAAATGAAATATTTAGAAGCAACTTTTTGAGTTGGTTGAAGGAGAAACTTGGCCCAGGACTTATAGCTAGCCTGGAGTGCACTGTGTGCATTTTCAAGGCCCTCTCTTTCCCAGAACTGCTATCACCCTGCGTGACGTATCCAAGCAGGGGAGAGGAGAACAGGACAGAAAGGACTATTTCAGAAGGTTTATGGGAATGGTCTTATGTTCACTGATAGAAGGCATGAGGAGCTTGTTATCTTAGTAGTAACCTTTGCAGTGTCCAGCATTAGCTTCCAGAAGCATCTGAGTCTTAGGGAAATGGGCTCCCAGAAGGTGGGAGGCCTTTACATTGCTTTCTCAGAAGAAGGCCATATTCTAAAGGGAGACATAAAAAGTAAAGTCATTTTTCTATTGAGTATTTGGGGGGAAGTAGGATGGAGGTTGGTTAAATTACAAGAGTAATACATGTCCCTTATTTAAAAGAAAAAGTCAAATGATAGAAAAGTAGAAGGTAAAAGTCCTCTCTCCCTGATCCTTGTGCCCACAGGTGTCTGCTGCTAAAACTTTGGCGCATGTCTTCCCAGACATTTCTCTCTACACAGATCTGTCTACATCTCCCACTGTCATATAGAAATATTTTTTAAAATACAAAAACAGAATCATGTTTTGCATTGTTCTGCACATTGTTTTTCCCATGTGACAGTATAAAACTGCCTTATTGTTTTTTTGTGTGTTTTTTTTGGGTTTTTTTGCCTTATTGTTTTTAGTGGCTGTATAATCGGCCAAAATTAGAGTATATTATAATTTACATAACCAATTTTCTATTGGGCATTTAGGTGATTTCCATTTTTTTGTCATTACAGGAAATGTCTTAGTTAATATCCTTATATGTATAACTTTAAAAAAATTGTGATAAATACAATATTTACCATTTAAACTATTTATAAGTGTACGTTTCAGTAGTGTTCCCTTATGTTTGTACCATTGCATTTGTGCTGGTATTTCTGCAGAAAAATTCCTAGAAATGAAAATTTTGAATTCAAAGGATATGTACATTTCAAATTTTGATCTTTGTGTACTGGCAGAAAATTTTCTAAATTAAAATAATAACTTACATAGTCCTGACTGGTGTGGCTCAGTGCATTGAGTGCCAGCCTGTGAAACAAAGGGTCACTGGTTCAATTCCCAGTCAGGGCACATGCCTAGGTTGCAGTCTAGGTCCCCAGTTGAGGGTGTGCAAGAGGCAACCAGAATGTTTCTTTCCCTCTCTTTCTCCCTCCCTTCTCCCATCTCTAAAAATAAATAAGCAAATCGTTAAAAAATACATAACTTACATAATTGGTTGAATATTATAAAGGAAACAAAAAACCCTAACCCCCTAAATTATTGCTTTTAGGGTTTTTGGAACTGAGTCCATTCTTAGAGGCCCATGGATAAGCTTAAGGAATTGTGTGGTTTTTCTCCTTCCCCAAAGAATGCAGAATTTGGGTATAGCTTTACAAGTTAACTTTTTCAGGGAGAGGAGCCATAACTTTTATTGAGTCTCAGTAAGTTCTATGACAATTTACAATCATTGCCTTAAATCAATATATAATTTTTTACATCAATAAATGTTACTTTAATACCTACAAGTTTCCTGGTACTATACTAGGTTTTATGGATGATACCAAAGAAATAGAAGATATTGATCCCGTTTAAGATATTTTGCAAAGCTGTAAGATAAGACATAGGACAACTAGAGAACAACTGTAAGTCAGCATCTAAGCAATAAGAATGTGTGTAGTTCAAAGTTAGTAGAGAAATGAGAAGTAAGAAAGGGGCAATTTGGTGACTACTTACTAGCAGAACTTCTTGAGGAAGACTAGGTAGGGCCCTGACTGAGTCGGTTAGAGCATCGTCCTGACATGCCAAGGTTGCAGGTTCAGTCCTGTCAGGGCACGTAAAAGAATGCATAAATAAGTGGAACAACAATTCAGTGTTTCTCTCTCTCAAAATCAGTTTTAAAAAAGACTAGGCAGGAACCATGGCTCTTTTGTATCTGTGTCTGGCTCAGGGCCTGGCACATAATAGGTGCTTTAGTAAATACTTAAAGGAACAAACAAATGAATGAAATAAAGGGACTCGTGAGCTTGGTGACAAGGTTGGTGGAGAGGGGTCCAAGGAAATTGAATGTATGAGACATAGTTTTAAAAAAAAGCTGCTCTGTGGACCCGGCAGGAGTTAGGAAGGGGCTGTTTTTGAGGAATAGAAATAAACATAGGATAGTTCATTGAGGACTTTGAACATTACACTGAGGAGTTTATTTTGATTCAGTTGTCAGTAGTAAATCATTGTAGGAAGTCATCGTGGCCTGGTGACAGTGGGGCTTTGGAAGAACTAATCACCGTGAGCCCAGCAGTTGGAGACAGAGACCAGCTAGCACTGTTGTAACTCAGATATAAGGGGGATGAGTCCTTAGGAAAGATAAGAATTAAACTCACAGACATTGTAGAGAAGTCATTAGCAGGGTCTGGAGTTGATTGGATGTTGGAGGGTAGAAGTGAAAAGTAAAGAGGACCAAAGACAGGTTCCAAGTCTCTGGGCTTAGAAACCAGGAGAACATCAGTACTCCCCACAGACACTGAAAAGTTGAGGAGTCAGTTTGGGGAGAAATAGGAGATATAGGTAGGTAGGGAGTGAAATATGAGTTCACAGCAGTGGGGGGTGTGCTGTGGGCAGTTCAAGGTAGAAAGTTGGATCTGGAGGAATAAGTAGTGTGAAAGTCTTAAAGGAAATGATTTCTCTAATAGTTGACCTTGCGTACCTTTGGTTCTACATTTTCCTAGATCAAAAAATGTCCGAGTTTCTTTCTTCTTCTTCCATTGAAGTCCGACACATTCTTCTGAAATCTTACCCTCCGTGTGTAGCCTCCCCTGACCACCCCAGCTGGATGAGCTCCCTCATTGTTCCAAACTCCTCAGGCACTATTGTCTCTGCCAGCATTACTGATGAAACCTTTGGTGCCCATAGGAATCAGTTATAGAAGATGGCAAGCTTTTGATGTTGTTCAGCCTGGTTAAGGAGTATGTAGGAGTTACTCATATTTTTTGTCAACTTCTTTACTTCTTTTGCATGTTTCAAAGTTTCCATTAAGAAATAAACAACAGCAACAAGAAACTAAAGAGTCACCAAGCTGGGATTCAAGACCTGGCTATAGGACTCCAGAGTCTGGAGTCCTGACTGTTGTTATTGCCTTCCTGGAATTTCAAGCCACAAAAAAATCAAAATTGACTCAGAAGTAAAATCAAACACAAACACACCTTTAAAACATAATGAGTTTGAAAAACCAAACACTTAGAACACTCAGCTATATTGTAATTCTACCTACAGGAGATGTTTGTGTAAGGGCTGCACCGAGGTATCTGAAGACAGGAGAGCAGTGATGTCTCTGCGGTTTCTTGGCATTTTTTTCCGAAGTTTTTGTTGTTCTAAAGACTTTTGAACTGTGTTAAAAATCAGGGAGGTCATTCTTGAAAATGTTACACATCTGGCGTGTGCAAATGCCTCTAGAACTCCTGAGTGCCACATACTGAGGAAGTTTCCATGGTGACTTGGGACTCACAGGAGAACATTGTTGCTCAGTGGTTGTAAAAAGTTGTGTTGGTTACTACTGTGATAGAGGGATAATTTAAATAAGAAAAGTTGTAAAAACTAGCCATAAGTGTAGCCTTAATAAATTTGTGGTTGGTTTTCTATATTTTGAATCATAGCATCTGTACATGGTATAATTTATTATCATTTTATAGAAAAGGAAACCAAGTTTCTGAGAGGTTAAATACCTTACTTGTATAGCTAATTAGCATCACAGTCAGTATCGTCTAGCTCCACAACCCATCTTCTTTCTGTCTTACCATGTGTGACAGAGGCGGCTGGACATTAGGTTTGGGCTCTGGTGTAGTCCTGACGGGAATGGTAGCTTCAGAAGGCACCAGCCTAGAAGGCAGTTAAAACCGTGGGAGTGGTTGAGATTGTCCAGGGAGATTGTGCAGGGTGAAGACTGATGAAAGCCTGGGACAGATCCTGTAGTCTTGAGGACAGGGTTCAACATCCTACACCTTTTTTGCAAAGTAGACTTTTTGCAGTGAACATTGGTTATTTGCAATCTTAAATGTCATAATTTTTTGTGAACTCTGGCTTTGACCTTGCTTTGATGACCTGATTGTGTATATTGGATGTGGCTCCCCTTTCATGACCTGGAGGCATTGTGTTGTCATTCCAGATTACCTAAAACTAGATCCATGGATGATCTTCTTTCTGCCTGTGACACAAGCAGCCCTCTGACACGCACGTCCAGTGACCCTAACCTGAATAACCACTGTCAGGAGGCCAGGGTAGGCCTGGAGCCCTGGCATGGCAGTCCTGAGGGGTCAGAGACAGCCTTCGTGGAATCTGGAGTTGGAGGTCCTCAGCAGACTGTAGGAGAAATGAGTCTTCCTCCCCCTCTGCCCAGCAGCCAGAAAGACTACTTGAGCAACAGACCTCTTAAGAGTCACAAAAGCTGTTCTTCAAGTTACAAACTGCTCACTGCTGCAGTGCCCCAGGAAATGAAGAGCAACACCTCTGATCCTGAGATCAAAGTCCTGGAAGAGACTAAGGCACCAGCTCCAGCCCCTGCTGCCCAGGATGAGCTACGCAGGACTTTAGATGGCACAGAGGAGCCACCTGAACATTGTCCTGAAAAGGAAGCTATCAGTGCACTCTCTAAAGTCATTTCCAACAAGTGTGATAGAATTTGTGATTTTCCGGAGTCTTCTCAGGACTCCCTTGCAGGTGCCCCCCAGCAGGCCCAGCTAGATTCTGTGCTAGGTGTATCCTTCAGACCTGCTCCAGATCACAGTCTGGGTACCCTTTGCAACCCACCGAGTGCTACCTGCCAAACTGCTCTAGACCCAAGCACTGACTTTCTCAATGAAGATACCCCAGGGTCTGTGGTAAGCATCTCCCACCAGGAGCAGCCCAGTTCTGTGCCAGATCTGATTCATGGGGAGGAAGATACTGGCAAAAGAGGGAATACTAGGACTGGGCAGTTACTGGAAAATCCTCGCTTTGGGCAAGTGCCATTGGATTTGGCCCGAAAGACAGTTTCTCAGAGCCAGATCAGTGAGTTCTCTTTTTTAGGGTCCAATTGGGACAGCTTCCAAGGGATGATGACTTCACTCCCAAGTGGGGAGACCACCTCTCGTCGGCTGCTTTCTTATGGCTGTTGTAGCAAGAGGTTGAGCAGTAAGCAGATGCGGGCAGTGGGGCCCTGCTTTGGGGGCCAGTGGGCTCAGAGAGAAGGGGTAAAGTCACCTCTCTGTTCTAGTCATTCCAATGGACACTGTACTGGTCCAGGAGGAAAAAACAACCGGATATGGTTGTCTGGACATCCAAAGCAGGTCTCCAGCACAAAGCCCGTTCCACTGAGCTGCCCTTCTCCAGTGCCTCCTCTCTACCTGGACGATGATGGACTCCCCTTTCCCACGGATGTGATTCAGCACAGACTGCGGCAAATTGAAGCAGGGTACAAACAAGAGGTGGAGCAGCTACGTCGACAGGTGAGGGAACTGCAGATGAGGCTGGATATCCGTCACTGCTGTGCCCCTCCAGCAGAGCCTCCCATGGACTATGAGGATGATTTTGTGAGTATTCGCCTACTGCCACCAACCCATTCGTTTATTCTCTCCACTAGCCTTCCATTCCACATTCATGCGTTGGGTACTTGCTGTGTGCCACTGTGTTAGGTGGGTGGGTTGTAGGATGAAAGACAAGACATAGAACCTGCTCTCATGGAGCTCATAGTCTATTGGGAGAGACAAGCAAACAGTTCAACTAATTATTTCTTAAGCGTTATGATATAGGGAGACACCAGGTATTGGGGGCTGGGGTAGAATGAAAGGTCAGGGAAGGCATTCCTGAGAAGATAATGCTTGGTCCGAGAGCTAAAGAATGTGTCACATTTAGTTTGGTGGACAATGAAAGGAAATAACCACTTGTAGAAACATGGAGGCAATGGGTATTCCAATGGCACAGCTTGAACAAATGGGTAGTGCGTGTGTGTGCATGTACACTTGTGCTAGAACGGTGAGGGAGGCAGTTGGATAGTGAGGTGGGAGGTGATACTGGAGAAGTAGAGAGGGATGGGAAAGGTCAGCTTGAGTTCCCTTGTTGCTGGATTCTACCCTCAAGGCGGTAACATTTTTGACCAGTGAGTAACACCATCATATTTGTATTTTAAGAGTACTACTCAAGCAATAATGTGTCAAGTGGATGAGGCCATTGTAACCCATGTTGGGAGGCTGGTTAGGATGCTTTGGAATAATCTGGGTGAGAGATGACGAGCACCATGTACGCTTCACTGTGTTGGGAGGCCTCTGGTCCTGGCACAGCAGTCCTCAGAGAGCTGCTAGGAGTCAGCTTCTTGCCCATAGTATCTTGTCATCTACACAGGCCCTTCACTTCCTCCTGTTAAGACATTACCACATCCTTGCTGTACACTTGCTGGGATGGTACAGGCAGGGCCGACGACTTCTTACTACTCAGGGTGATGATTTAGAACAGCAGTCCCCAACATTTTTTTTGGTAAAGGTCCGGATAACAAATGCATTAGCCTTTGTGGGACATAGCATCTCCTTTGCAGATACCTGGCAGAAGCAGGCATAGACAATATGTAAGTAAACGAGTGTGGCCGTCTTCCAGTAAAACTTGATTTATAAAAACAAGCAGTGGGCTAGATTTGGCCTGTGGGCTACAGTTTGCAAACCCCAGGTTTATATGTAACAAAAGAAGTATTCTTTACATAATGTAATATAGCATATTGGTTAAGAGCATAGGTCTGAAGCCAGAATACTAGGTTCAACTCTCAGCTTTACTATCAAGTCAGCTCTTAACTTTCTCTGTGGTATAGTTTCCTTATTCATAAAATGCGGATAATAATAGCATACATCCTAAGATTGCTGTGAAGAGTTCATACATGTAGTGCACTTAGTGCATGACGCATAGTTAATAATAAATGTTAGAGATGATAAGATGATGCTGATGTCTTTACCTTTTCTTCAGACGTGTCTGAAGGAGTCAGATGGCAGTGATACAGAAGACTTTGGCTCTGATCACAGTGACGACTGTCTTTCAGAAGCAAGCTGGGAACCTGTTGATAAAAAAGAGACTGAGGTATGTCCAGGCAAACATGGGTACTTAAGTAAGCTGCTGAGTAGACAGTGTCTTTTGGGGTTTTATTTTAATTTTTTAATTGATTTTGAGAGAGGAAGGTCAAGAGGGTGGGGAGAGATACACTGATACGTTATTTATGCATCCATTGATTGATTCTTGTATGTGCCCTCACTGAGGACTGAACCCATATTCTTGAGTAACAGGACAACATTGTAACCAACTGAGCTACTGGGCCTGGGCCAGGGTGTTTCATTTTTTAGGTGAATAATGTCCAATGTAAAGACAGGCTTCGTCATCTTCTCAGACGACGTCCCAGACGACGTCCTGGGACACTCTCCTTGTTGCAGTGTTGCTCTTCTGCTCTGTTGACAAGGGCCTGGATTTTTTTTCCTTATTCCTCTGTTAGGTGACTCGCTGGGTTCCAGACCACATGGCATCACACTGCTATAACTGTGACTGTGAATTCTGGTTGGCCAAACGAAGACACCATTGCAGGTAAGATGCTTTACATGATTTGGTGTGGCTCAGAAAACATCGAGGTGCATTTATATGAATGAAATTGAATTAATCTGAAAATGGACACAAATGAGGTCTGTCCAGAAGCTATCCAAGTATGTAATATGAAAAATAGAGACACTTATTGAAGAAGATACAAGAAACATTGTACTTGGGACAATGACACCTCAGTCCCCTTCAAAGTAGGCACCTTGGGACCTCACACAGTTCTCCCAGTTGCCATCAGCTTCAATTTTGCCCATTGTATTTTGCTGAATCTCACTGATGGTCTGAAATCTCTTCCCTTTCAAAGGTAATTTTAGTTTTGGGAAAAGCTGGAAGTCACGGGGTGCCAAACCTGCGCTGTATGTGGGCTGAGTCACCTGGGTGATTTGACGTTTTGCCAAAAAAACTGCACAAGACCTGATGCATGAGCGGGTGCATTGTCTTGATGAACCTGCCAATCACCAGCCGCCCATAGCTGCAGCATTCTGAATCATCTGAATAGTTCCTGCAGAGGAATGTTGAGGCTTAATACAAAAGTTGATGCAGATTTGTTGCTGTATTTGTTCAGTCAGTTTGTGACAGCTACACAGTCAGTCACTATGTGACAGCCACACAGTACACACGTTCCCTCAATAGCGTCTACCTCCCCACTGACTAGTATAGTCGTCATTGTTCACGCATGTGCATTCCAGTCCACTCTCCTTGGCTGCCAGGTTACATTGCTGTCACACAAAGCGTTCTTGTTATTTTTAACAATGGCTGGACTATTTTCGGACAAAACTCATATTTATAGGAAATATTTTTGTTTGCTCCCAACTTTTCTCTTCATTGGTTCATGGAAGGCCTTTTAGAGTATTATTCATTCTCGGTATATTTGAATTTATTTTATTTTATTTAAAAAATTTCTTCAGTTACAGTGTATATTCAATATTATTTTGTATTACTTTTAGGTGTACAGCATAGTGGCATTTCTGATGAACTCTCCTCTCTTTGTCCTTTGGCAGAAATTGTGGGAATGTATTTTGTGCTGGCTGCTGCCACCTGAAGTTGCCCATTCCTGATCAACAACTCTATGACCCAGTTCTCGTCTGTAACTCTTGTTATGAACACATCCAAGTATCTCGTGCCAGGGAACTTATGAGCCAACATCTGAAGAAACCCATTGCTACAGCTTCCAGTTGAGCGCCAGAGGAGACGGCCTGTCCAGTTGTAGCAGGTTTGAAGGGAGGATCTGCTTCAGGTGTAGTTTTTGAAGGTTCTTTGGTGTGGCTCATGAAATCACAGAGCTCAAAGATACCATTTCGAGAAATCCTCGGTATCATGAGACTGGAGCAGAGGAGTTCCAATTTCACAGAAGGTCCTCTGTGGGTGAGAGACATCCACCTTGGGGTAATGGGCCTGATCCAGACCCAGAGTCTGGAAACTTAATGTTGAGTTGGTGACTTCAGCTTCTTTCTCTTGGCGGGGGTCACAAGATAATGATTTCATAGATACTGCCTAGTAATGTGTGCCCCAAACAGCAATAGAAAGGCATATGTATAACCAAACTCCAAGTGATAACCAGATCCATCTCTCCTCCACCTTGAAAAAAGCAGATTATAGTATATAAGATAGGAGCTCCTATCCTGTTGAAATGAACTATACCCTGTACCTCTGTGCTCTGTGTCTGTGCATGAAGGCTCAGTCTTTAGAGGCACTTCCTCTAGTTGCATTAGTTCTGTCTTTCTGTGGAGTTTGGTTTAAAGACTGGTTCAGCAAGTGGGGTTTTGCTGTATTTTTCACTTGGCCCATCGGCCAGCATTAGTGAATATTCAGTTTAGGGGGACAGTTCTAGGGAGTGAGACATTTCTGGGAGCAGAGGAAAACTCTGCTGATATTCAGTCCTGGCAAAAAATCAGTTATTTCAAGCTATGAAGGCAGTAATCTGTTACTCAGTGATGGCTCTTGAGGTCTGCACTATGAAGAATGAGAAAAGGGAAAAGCAGAAATTATCCTTGTGAAATATTTGCTGATCGTGCCCTACCCTTTGCGCCTGACTTTTCCTAGTTGTCCTGGTGCTAACACAGGAGCTACACCTTGATCCTCTCCTGGCATGAAAATAAAACCATGGTTTTTTTTGTTGTTGTCGTTCCATTGCCCACGTCCCTCATGTTGTCTTTCCCTTGGCTGCCGCCTCCTCTGGGTCACACTGCTTCTTATCCTGAACACTTGACATCTTGAGGGTAGAATTTAGTGTTTGGTTTTTACCTCCTAGAATATGCTGTTTGGTATGTGAGGGTTTCAGTACAAATGCTGCTGTTTATTTCTGTGCACTTAACAATGGAACCCAAGCAGAAGAGAATAAGCCTTGATACCAAAATTGGGAGAGAAATTGTGTCCATCTGGACCAAACATTGTATCTGTTTGTTTGTTTATTTGTTTTCATCCCAATACATACCCGTGGCACTTAACCAAAAGATACAGTGATATAGCCTTGTACTGTGGGTGGGACAGATACAGTCTTCTTGACCTATAATGAAACCACTAGGATTTACTTTATTCATTTTCTTAATTTGTTGGTGTATAAAAGGTAAACTACACTTAGGCTTAACCTGTTTTAAAACTACTGTGGTAGCTGTCTAACTGCTACTTTCACGTTGCTTCCTAGAAAAAAAAAATTTTATTCAAAATAAGTAGGGTCTGCATTTAGAACAAGAACCGTATTTGTCCTGACCTTTACTTCAATCCTACAGAGAAGCGTCTGTCCTTTTATGTTTGCCATGGATGTAACCTAAAAAGTTTTGGCGTATTTAGGTCAGCCTAAGCAGAACTCTTTTTGGTTTAAATGGAGTTGCATAATGGAGATTTTGTGTCTGGGAAATTCCTGAGATCATTGAAAAAGTAACAAGCTATCCCTTGTCTCTGACACACAAAATTCTTCTAAGCATTTTCTCAATCATTAAAATGTCCTGCCAGTTGTGAGTGGCTTTTTAATTAACTTGACTTTCATTGCACTTCACTCTGCCCCTTTTCAGGGGGAGTGAGATTGGTAACATTTGAGGGGACTGTATCTGTCTATTTTGTATGGCTGTTTTGAGGGACTGTCCCATCAGTGAACATACTGCATGGCCTTGGAGAGACTCTGGGCTCAGATGTATTCACCAAATACTCCTTTCAGAGCTCCTGTGGGTGTGACATGATGTGGCCAAAAATCCAAACTGTGCAGTTGCGTTGTGACAAAAATGCAATGTGCTGTAAAAACTCGATACAGTTTAAATAAAATCTCTATATTAGTGCTGCTTTGTTGGGTCTTTTTATTCATTTTAATTTTTAAGAAAACCTAATGCATACTCATTTTTTCCTTTAACCATGAGAAAGGACGAAAACATTATACCCCTTCCTCCTAACCATTTTTGGTTTTTTATGGACTTTTTTTCTTTTATCGCATAGCTCTTGTTACATTCTTATTTATTGATTAGATGGGGAGTTGTCCTTTTTTTTCCTTAACTTACTTTTAGAGGGGGAAAGAGAGGGAGAGAAACGTTAATGTGCAAAGGATACATGTATGGGTTGCCTCTCACATGTCCCCAGCTGGGGATCTGGTTCACAACGCAGGCATGTGCTCTAACTAGGAATTGAACCAGTGAACTTTCCGTTCACAGGCCAGCGTTCAATCAACTGAGCTACACCAAGCAGGGCGAGAGTTCTCCGTATTGATACAATAGAATTCTATCCCATCTCGTGAGGCTTGTTTCCCTTTTAGGTCTAAAATTTAACCAGTTGGTTGATTAGGCACAAAGGATTGTGCCTATATTCTCATTCCCTCCTCAAAGTCACCTCAGTTCCTATTCCCACCTTGAGTAGATTACCGTGAGCAAAATCTGGGTTTAACAGTGAATTCCAAAATATGTAAGATGCTCTCTAAAAGGTGAATTTGTTTACTCAGTATACTTCCCTATCACCATCACCATTTTATTTGGACTGGTGAACAATTCAGTTGTTAGTACTGAGACTACCGAGTTAGGCCCTTTGTTCTCAAGAACGATTGACTTTGTACTGCAATGCACACTTTCCAAATTCTAAATGCCCGCCCGCTGGCTACCGTGAAGTAAAGGAATCTTAGTATTCCATCGTGGATAACTGGGCTCGTTCCTTTGCAGGCCTTAACCCTACCTGGTGGGCAGCAATTTCCAGCCATCGGTGGCAGTCCAAGGGAATGTGACTTTACTCCGCCACGTCCCACGCCTCCCACGCTGCAGCAGGTGGTTGAGGCGCCCCGCACCCTGCGGGCCGGGCGTGCTGGGGGTGCTGTGCCCAGGGTGCAGGCCCGCTGGCACCTCCTCCCAGCGCGTGGTGGGAACTCGAGGCCCCATTGGGCGCGCTGGAAGGCGCTGCGGGGCTCGTACGCCAACGGTCCCCAGGTCCGTGAAGGCCAGGAGGGGGCAGGGCGAAGCGAAGGCCTGGGGGATCGAGAACGGGAGCAGGAGAGCCAGACTCGGTGGGGCGAGGCCCAGGGCCCAGGCAGGGGCGATGGAGGAGACGCTGCTCTCCACCCCCATCAACCCCAACAACTTCCCCGCCAAACTGTGGCGGTTGGTGAACAGCCCTCGGTACCGCTCGATTCGCTGGGACGGCCGCGGCGAGGGGCTGCTCATCGACCAGCCGCTCTTCGAGGCCGAACTGCTGAGCCCGCCTGGGGCAGGAGCCGGCGTCGGCGGGGGCGCCGGGGGCGCCGGGGGCGCGGGGACCGAGCCGGAGCTGTTCAAAACCACCAACTTCACCAGCTTCATCCGCCAGCTCAACCTCTACGGCTTCCGCAAGGTGGTGCTGGGCGGGCCGGGCGCGGCGGGCCCCGGGCCGGGGGGCGGCGGGCCGGCGGGCGATGGGCCGCTGCACCACTTCCACAGCCCGCACTTCCGCCGCGACCAGCCGCAGCTGCTCGTGCACCTCAAGAGGCTCACCAGCGCCAACAAGGCCAAGCTGGCGGCCGGCCTGAAGGTGCCCTGCCGCCCGCCCAACCGCTTCCAGAGGCTGCTCATCACGTCGGCCTCCGCCTCCGCCTCCGCGGCCTCCGCCTCCGCCTCGGCCTCCACCTCGCCGCTGCAGCACCCGGAGCCGTCGCCGCCCTCAGGGCCTCGGCCCGAGCCGCACGGTGAGTCCCGTCGGGCCTCCTCTCCCACCGCAGGGCACATGGGCTCAGGGAGCAACCGCCACTTCCAAGACGTTGTCGCACGCCCTCATCTTGCAGGTCGGAGGTATCCCGAACGCGCCCAGGATCCTAAGAGGGTGCCGCCCATGTGGTTCTCACCGGCGCAGGCCCCTGTTTGGTGCCAGTGCCTCTCCTGGAAAGAGGCCGTAGGCTTTCAGTCCCTTCTGTGTCCACTAGCGGCCAAAGGCACAGTGCTTTGCGCTCTTTCCACCCTTCCCGCACCCCTCTTGATCTCCGCGCCTCCATAGCTGACCTGCTCCAGACGCGTGAGCACGTAGAGTAAGCGGCCCCTTGTTGAGGCACAGGGCCTGGCGGAAACACGCAAGGGCCTCCTTCGCTCTGATGGGAGCAGAGTTACTGTGTAGGGTGAAAAGACATGAAAGTCAAGGTAGGGAGGAACGAATCGCAGCCAAGTTTCTAAGGAACACTTAAGACCATTTACACCAACCAAGGGAAAGTGAACAAGGTACCTTGAGTGGAAGTTTGTCCTTGGAGAGACATGCCATCTTCCACCCACTGAGACAACTAAGACATCTTGGAAGAAGTGTCCTGACAATAGTCATATTTTAGGCCCCAGTTTATGCGTAGAAGGATAAGACATTGTTTACGTATCTTAAGAGCAAAAGATAATATATTTTACTGTTCACCGGATATTGTTCCTGTGTGGGATGAATTGGTCAAACAGCTCTTTCACTGTAGCTAGTGAAGGCTGATGCTTATTTTAAGAGGTTGTGGTTGGACACATGTAAGGAGAAAAGGATTTGCTTTACAGCTGTCAAGTTTTAGTTACCAAGAATTTTAGAAGGCTCACATTTGTGGCCTTTGGATTTTTCACTATTGGCTATAACCTTTCAGTATGTGAAAAACCTTTGTATTTATAAATGTGTATTCACTAAAAGTTCAGAAATTCTCTGATAGAAAATTATTTTGTAAACTTGACTTCTGATGTTCTTCCCCTCCCAGGAAGGTGAGAGTGGCAGTATTCCCTTTCTCTGTTTAAGGACCTATGGTAGGAACGCCAAGAAAGTAACAGGATATAATGTTGAGAATTCATTGCCTCATCTTCAAGTAGGAGAGTAACAGAAACATTTTCAGCATGTTAACATGGGTTTAATGTAAAGATTTCTGGGTTACTTTTGTTACGGGAAACTTTAAAAATGCACAAATAAAAGTCATATTGTACTGTGTTTAACCCAAGCCCAGAGTTATGAATGAGGCAGCACTGCATTGATTTGGAATTTAGAAGGGGTTAGGTTGTGCCTGTGGAGTTTAGAAGATTAGGGGTTAGGTTAGAGTTCTAGTAACAAGTTGGAAAAATAGCAGTGGCACAGGAATGTTCTAAAGGAATTCTGAAGGAATATTAAGCTACCTCCACATGATGGCTGCTGATTTTGGTGGGAAATCAAATGGCACAAGAGAGTGGGAGACGATACCGTGGCATACATCTGGCAGACTCTCCTGTGGATATTTGTTTTTCAGGCTGTATGTCCGATGAACATAAGGAGAAAAGACTGGAAGGTGGGCTCTTGAGAGAATTGGGTTAACCACTTCAATGTCAAAAGAAATGTCCATGCATACGTATAAACATAAAAGTCAACTCTTGCTCACTTTTTTCTCTTCTCTGAACTTTCTTTTTCCCTCGTGTATCTTAAATCTAATTGCATTCAAAGAATAACATTCATTTACTGACGAAACACAAGAGCCGTCTAGGATCTGCTTGTCTTCACTTTCTGTTTCAGTTGGCTAGCATTTTAAAGATTATTTGTTGAATAACATGCAATTCACATCTTTTCAGTATAGATAATACATCAATCCATGTATACCTAGATTATTGTCGTTTTCAGGATTTTTTCTTTTTTACCATTCTACCTGTTGGTAGATGCGGATCGCTTACCCCAGGCTTGGTTCACTAGGGAACAGTGTTACTAGTTTGGGCGGAGCGTAATTCTAAGTTCAAGAATACTGGCCCAGTTTTGTTTTGCTTTAATTCCATGTTCTAAGTCCTTGCTCCTCTATTTTTCCTCATTTAATTTTTATTCTGCTGGAGTCGTTTTGGTTGTATGCCTGACTGTACTGCTACTTCCTGGTTTCCATTTTGTTTTGGGTTCTCTACTTCAGTTGAGGGTTTTAATACTGCTCTCTCTTTTACAGTACAATCCTCTGTGTTGGGATCTAGTTCTCTTATCTAGGTCCTCGAGCCAGCTGTCCTTTTTACTTTTTGAGAATGTCTTGATGAGAAATGTGAGGATCACATGTTTTTTCTTTTTTGTTTCTTTGTTCACTTCTGTTATTTTGTTTTTATTGTCAGTTTTTAAAATATTTGTTAAAACTTTCTAAGCTAAAACAAAACAACAACAAAAAGAAAACAAACATTTCTAAACTAAGTAAAATTACAAGTCTGAGCAGTAGTTAATGTGTCTTTGCCTGGGGCCACCAAGCTCCAAAAGAGGCAGGTTTCGGACAAGAGGCAAGTTCTTTTCCTGGGGATTTATTAGTTCAAGTTCATTTATACAGAAGGAATAGAATTTCTAAAAACAGAAATTTATCCTGCCTTACATTTCCCGAGCTCTGGAGTTAAGCTTTGCCCAATGTATCTGTGAAGTTGGAACAGAATTGCTATGAGGTACTCCTTAAGAGAAGAATGAATAAGAGCTGAACATGTCGTAGATTTTTATTTAAAAAAACAAATTTAAAGGGATGTTCTCATTCTAATAGTGATTTTTCTGTTAGCAGCATCTAAAATATGTAAATATTTGGCCATCAATCAGAATTTATCTCGATAGAAATAGACTTTATATTTTAATTCAGATCTAAACCAGAAATTGAGAAATCAAGGTAAACAGTTCTTTAATAAGCTGCTTAAATTATGGACGGTCTGAAAATTGATGAACAGCTTAACTTTAAAGAGGGTAGGAAAAGGGTGAGTGAGCTGTTGCACGCTATAGCAATATGCAGTTTTAGCACATGAAGCGTCCAAGGAGAAATCAAAGGTAGGTTTGGACCTCAGAAATACCTGCTGTGAAGAGCAGAAAATGTTTCTAGGTTTAGAAAAAAACACTTGTCAGTGGTGAGTTCCACAGTGTGTATACATATGGAATTGCTAGTCAAGTAACATAAAACCTAGTTTTTGTACTTTAAAGGAAAAAAGGAAAAGTCGTTTTTAAGAGCGACATCATTTAACTACAATCTTTGGAACTAAGATTTATGTTTTCCTCATTGGGTTTAGAGCTTTTGATTTCTAAGATTCCAGAATTTTTTGTGTATGTTTGTATGTATATATTTGTTTATTTTTGGCATTAGTGCTTCTTTAAATTTTATTACTTCTATAAGAGTTTATTTGAGCAAAACTCAGTTTGAGTCAGGTAGGGCCAAGCCAGAAGTAGTTAGGAACACTCCCTAATACTTGATTCTTTGGAGGAACCAAACACCACAGAAATAAAATGGATGGTGTGTAACATGTAGAATGGGTTTACAGGTGAACTATTTGAAAAAGTAAGGATTTGAGTGCCATTTTCACCATGTGGTTTAACAGATGAGTAGCATATAAATTAGACTTTCCCTCTGTTCTATAGGTTGGTTTAATAAAACAAATTGAATGACATTTGTGAATCACATAACTTATTACATAAAGTCCTCTCTAGAAATAAGTTGGGCTAGCTTTGTTTGTGTTCAGGAAGTGCCCTCTATAAAATAAGTCCAGATTATAACATTTATATTTTCCTTTTCCTTGTTACGCAGTATTGTCCTTTCTCTTCCTCATATTTTATTTTTAATTCTTTTCTACCTTTCTAGATCAAAGAAAGCAAATAACTGGAATTTCTGGGCCTGAGCATGTGGATTTTTTTAACAAACAGACTCTCCAGGTGACTCAGATGTAAATCAGGTTTTGAGAGTCACTGATATCTAGGAAGGGAGACTACTAGACAAACTCTGAGGAAAAAAATGACTATGGAAGACTATTGACTGATTTAGGGATAAAGAAGAGAACTTAGTCAAAGTTTTCAAGATTGACGTTTATGCAAAGATCATCATTTTTTAAAAAAAGTTTTAATGGGAGCAAAAAACATTAAATTTTTTTAAAATTTATTTATCTTTAGAGGGGAAGGGAAGGAGAGAGCGAGAGAAACATCAATGTATGGTTGCCTCTCGTGCATCCCCTGCTGGGAACTGGCCTGCAGGGAAGCAGCCTGCAACCCAGGCATGTGCCCTGACTGGGAATCGAACCGCGATCCTCTGGTTCGCAGGCCCGCACTCTATCCACTGAGCTACACCAGCAGGGCTCTTTTTGGTTTTTATTATAATTTTTATTTGTCCCATATTTTTAAAAAATTTGACTGTAGATAGAGAGGAAGGGGGGGAGAGAGAGACATCATATTGTTGTTTCATTATTTATGCATTCATTGGTTGATTCTTCTATGTGTCCTGACCAGGGATCGAACCCACAACCTTGCATACCAGGATGATACTCCAGCCAACTGAGCTACCTGGCCAGGGCCTGTTCCACACTTTTTTCATATATATATATGGTAGAGTGCTTATCTTTGTGTCTGTTAAAAAGGTTCCTAAATTATTTGAAAGACAGAATGGAATTTCTAAAGCTTCCAGGGCACAGGTGGCAAACACAAGGCCCACAGGCCGAATCCAGCCCCCCACCGTGTTTTATCCGCCCAGCACCCTTTTTCTCCCCTGAGGCAGCGCCAAGCTCCCACTTAACTGTTAAGGAATACTTACATTTATGCAGTCCTATAATTACATTCAGCCGTTTCAAGGCAACCTTGAGGCTGATGTGGCCCCCGGTGAAAATGAGTTTGACACCTGTGTCAAGGATGTAGCTTACAGGTTGGAAAAATTAGAGTCAGTCAACGGAGGTCAAAGGTAAGATGACTGAATAATTTATAAAAGGCTTTTAACACTGAATAAATTTGATTTGACATTTGGTTTTAGAGTTTTGCCACTTTATGACAGCCATATTGAGACTCAATCAAAAGTTTATTTTTTCAGCAACATATGTATAATCTCATATTCTGGATTCTGAACTTGTTTTTATAATGCTTGATTTTGGTTGTGTTACAATGACTGAAAACTCAACATTTCCCAGGTGAAGGGCGGTGTGTATTTTTTGTCTTTTGGTTTCCTACATCCCGTGGTGCAGTATAAAATTAACAAATGTGCTCTTCCTCTTTTTGTGCAGGACCAGTGGCTGTAGGACAGTTTCATCGGTCATTCCGGCGAGATAGTCTGTCTCCTTATTCCTACGTATCAGCTTCATCCCACAACCACAGTACTTTCCCTCTGAAAGGTTTAGATCGGACCCCGATTCCTCCTAGAACGTGGCAGAACTCCCTTGGAATGCACCCAGGACAAGTAGAAACGTCTCCTACTTTTTCAGAGAAAGGGGTTCCATTTCCTGTACTGCAGAGGTTTCCAACTGAGGTTACCTACACCCTGCAGCCCAGCAGCACATCTGTACACGTTCAGCAAGGTCCTCAAACAATGGTCAGCTCCTCCCAAAAATACAGTAACTACACACCCTCAGCACAGTACTCCCAAGCCTACTATCCAACAGGTATGAGAAATTCAAGTTCCATGGCTTCTCTTAAGGTACTTTATAAGCAGCATTTATATTTTTAAATGCATTTCTTCATGCTTAAACAATAATACTCGGAATATGCACCTAAGGAATGTCAAAGATTTCTCATCAAGACATTTTTAAGTAATATATTCACGTGTTCTTAAGGGTTGTGAAATTCCATTGGTGTATGTTTTTAGTGAGACTTTTGTATCCTCAAAATATGTCTTAGTATTGAAATTAAGACTTAGTACACTGAAACCTGCTACAGCTCTGTCCTTGGTGCAGAACTATTTTTTAAAATGGTAGCAATGGTAAATGGTAGCAATTAAAAATGGTTAGCAGTGGTAATTCCAGCCAACTAAGAACAAGAACAGCAGACAGAACTTGATAATGACAAGTGACTTAGATCTCAACCGAGGGCATTGATATACTGGTAGATAATCCAGCCCCTAATTGGGGATCCTTATGCTAGTGATATCTGTTTAGTTTATAGGGTCTTTTTTTTTTTTTCAGGAGAGAGGGGAGGAAATAACGTTTTTGCAAGGTAATAGCCTTACCATTTTATTCAACTGTATATTCTATTTTGCAGAAGCACCATAGCTGTGGTGTATGTTTTGTCATGTAGGGTGCTTTACACAGTGGTAACGGGGCAACAGAAACAAGACACGGGTCAGGGCTTTCAGAAAAGACCAGGGAGAGAAGAAAGGAGCCTTCCTTTGCCCTGCGAATTAAAACAGTAGGAGTATTAATTTACTCACAATATATAGATCTGGAAGCACTCTCTAGAGGTATTTGTTAAACCATCTCAGGTAGGATGACATTAAAAGCTAAAATAAAAGGAAGGAGTGTAAATTAGATGATAGAATTAAATAATTTGTTGCCTTTTAAAAGTTATAAATTTGGTAGCTATTCTATTTGTAATAATGCTCACTGTTTCTAACTGTAATATCCAGCTGTATTCTTTTACTTTGGGCTCATTGCATTCTACCTAAATATAGTTATAAAAGGGATTGCTTTATTTTCCCAAAGCATTTAACTTTAACAATATTAAAATAATAGAACCAGAGTTTAAATTAAATGGGGTTTTATAGATTTTTTGAGCTACTAATGTTTTCATGGATGGATTGAGAAGAAAGAGGGGAAGGGATCATCTGGAGTAGGATGATTTAGCACTTTTAATCATTTTGCCAATTCAAAATTAATTTTTAAAATCTTTTTATATAGAAACAGGTTGAGGCCAAGTATTTTTCCAGATTGTCAGCTATTTCATGGAAGAACAAAAATATATATGTGATCTTTAAAAACAGAAGATAACTAATTTCATGGTATAAGTTATGTATCTTATGTATAGTAACAAATAGGGTCAGATTTTTATTAGTGAGTTTAACCCAGTAGTTTAATAAACAAATTAGGCATGGCTACCTACATTATAATTTTGGTTGCGTTCCCTGTATTCGTAGAATACATACACGCAGTCTGTGTTTTCCTAACACTTGCTTTATATTCTGTAGCCCGTAAACTAGACAGTAACCTTTCCTCCCCTCCTTTTGCCAGTAAATGCTTCTGTTTCCTTTACTAAATCCCCTCCAAACCCTCTTCCTTAAACTTTCACTGAAGACTCAAAAACTTCTAGGGAGTTGAAATTTGGAAGGACTGTAGCAGAGAGATGTAGAAATGTGCTTGGCCTTCCGATTTTGAATTTTGGAGGCATTTTAAATGGACATATTAGATACAGTGGTTAAGTTCTGTGTTGCCATTAGTCCTACACTTAAGGTAAAGATCTTTATAGTCTGGCTCAGGAGTCAGACTGGCCTGCCTGATGGTGTTTCTATGTGGAAATTATTCCAAATTCCAAACCAACTTCTTGGAAACTCCTAGTTCTAAATTTTATGAGAACCAGTTATATATTATTTTTCAGAAAACGCTACAAATGGTTAGTACTATTCATTCATTATAGAAATACTATTTGTTACATTATTAGGATTTAGGATATGTTATTTTAAAATATTTTGTTAGCTTGGATATAAATTTATAAATTGAAAATTATCTCCAAGAGTTCAAGGTAAAGACTAGGGAAGAAACGTTAAAAGGACAAGTAAGTGCTGCTGATGTTTTGATGGTATATAGTGCATGTGAAATAGAATCTTGTGTTATCTGAATTTTTTGTTTCGTCTTCTTTAGTAGGGATCATTGAAATGATTACAGAGTTTCTGAGGTTATGAGAATAAGAAACCTCATGATCTCATGAAGACTTCTCATATAGAGAGTAGTTCTGTGATATAATGTAGGCGAACAGTTTTGAGCATTCTGAAGTACTACATAAACAAAAAAGTGTACTGTTAAATACAAAAGGCCTACTGTGGAAAAGAAAGTGCCATAAAAATACCATATAGGTACTTAATTCTTTCAAACTTTAGGTGAAGGAAGCAAAAAGTAATAAGCAATTTAACCAATAACTTATAAATACTTATTTATGAAGAGTGTTACAAATAACTTTCCCAAAGTTAAATAGAATATTATTCTCAGAGGCAGGATAACAAGCCACTCCCAAACCCACCTGTGTAAGTCCTAATAAAGTAACTCACTTTGGAAAATGATCATACTTAAATCATTTCAAAGTGAGTTATATGACTTGAAGTTTTGATCAAATTTTAGTAAAAAACAGCATCCAATTTCATGTAACAATTACTTATATTCAAAACAAACTTGGATCTGGTAGAGCCAGTAAATTTTGAATTTTGTTATATTTCATAAATTAATTTCTCCAGTAAAACCAAACATGAAGACTAAAAAATTATCATCAGACTGACTTATAAAAGGACTCATCTGAATGACTTTTCATATTTTTCATTCCTCTCTTGAGTGTATCTTTTCCTTGCTAGCTCATTTACATTTTTTCCCTCTTATCACCCCTTCAAAGACAAAATGTGGTAGATCCAGTATTCGTTGATTCCTTTTACTTTTGCCCTGTCTTGAACTCAGTTTTTTTCCCTCTGATGTTATTTTCATAATGTGCTGCTGCAATTTAATTTCCCTTTTTAATAAAAATTTTATTTTAGACCTCTTTACTCATTCTCCATCTATTTGAACAAATATAGGAATATTAATATATTCATGTTTATATATAGACAGAATCCTGTATTGAGGAATTCTTTTCCTTCGGCTAATATTACAATGCTGAATTGACTCCAAATCAACTTTGCCATTTTTCCAAGTTAAGTTTTAAGCTCAAAGCAGTGATTAGCAATTCGTAGATGCCCTTCATGTCATATTTTATTTAATAACTATTTATATAGCAATCACTGCAGCTAGGCACTGTTCTGAATACCTTTTAAATATTAATTCACTCAATCATCACAACCACCTTATAAAATAGGAAATGTAATTATCCTAATTTTATAGATTAGGAAACCGAAGCACTACTAGGCAGAGGCAGGGCAAACTGATTCCATTGTCCCTTCTTTTGGGCATGTGCCCTGCTGCCCACCTGCCTGCCTCCCAAACAAAGACCTAAGTTTTGTTTTGCTTTGCCTTTGAGGGACTCTTTCCCGCTGTATGTCTTCCTCCGAGTTAGTTACTCCCAGATAGGGCAGATGACAGAGATTGGTGGAGGGACCTTCCCCTCCAATGCTGCTGGCAGCAGTGGGACTGTCTTGGGTCATTGGCTCACCCTGCTCGAGCAGAGAGAGCACACGTCAGCTGCTAGAGTCGGGGGTCCTGTTTGGGGCCTCTGAAGAGAGGGTCTCCCTTCAATTCGTTTCCGTATCTGCTTACACCTAACATAGTGCTTGGCTATGCTGGGTCCTTAATAAGTAATTTATTGAATGGAATGAAATAATTCTGGTCTCAGCTTTGCAGTTAATTGTCCACCATAACCTTCAGTGGATTATTTCATATCAATCAGCTTTAATTTCCCTTTCTGTAAAGTGGCAACAATTGTTTGGGTCAGGGATTAATGAATTAGTGTATATGAACAGACCATAAAATTGAAAACACTATACATATAAAGGATGAAATAGTTTAAAAGCTGTCTTTCAAATGAGCCTAGATATTAATACTTTAAAGGCTAAGTAATTTGTAATAATATATATTTTCCTCCAAGGTGTGTATGATTTTTAAAATTTTTATTGAAAAGTATATATCATTGTTTAAAAATTTTTTTAATTGACTTTTGGCCAAAAAGTTGCTTATCACTTTAAAGTACATTTAAATTCTAAAATTTGTTAGGCTTCTAGTCCTACATAATGCACAGAAGTACAGAATCTGGAGTTGTAAAGAGCGTTCTGATGCTCAGGAAGTTGGTGTCCTTAGTTTCTCTGAAAAGGCCTGATTTTGTTCTTATGGAAAGAAAGATTTGGCATAGACATACCAGGGAGTTCTCTTTAGCTGCCAGGAGAAACTAAACAAAAACACAATTACTATTTGCCTTTCTTTTTATTGAGGTAAACTATATATAACCTAGAACTTACCATTTAAACCATCTTTAGTGTACAGTTCTATGGCATTAAATTCATCCACATTGCTGTCCTAGCGTAATTACCATCCACCTCCAGAACTTCTTCTTCCACAACTGAAACTCCATACCCATGACACACTGACTTCACATTCTCCTCTTCCAGCTCCTGGCAACGACCATTCTACTTTCTGTCTTGAAGAATTTGACAACTGTAGGAACCTCAAGACTCATACAACATTTGTCCTCTTGTCATGGGCTTATTTCACTTAGCATAATATCTTTAAGGTTCATTAATGTCGTAGCCTGTGTCAAAATTTCCTTCTTTACTAATGCCGAATGGTTTTCCATTGTATGTATGTGCTGCATTTTGTTTATCCATCGTCTGCTGACAGCGTGCCGCTTTTGCCCTTGGCTGTTGAATAATGCGGATGCATGGGTGCATGAATAGCTGTTCTGCTTTTGGGTCTGTGCCCAGATGACCTTTTTGTTACCTCATCATAAATGAGGAGATGTTGGGGTTCTGGTTGCTATCTTGAAGTTAAATTTATCAGTGGGATGTTTTTCCTTTTCAGCATTCATATTGGGCATATTCTCACTGTTGACACTGTACTGTTCTGGAGTGGATTCAAGTTCAAAGCATTCCTTATTTGAGTTACCTTTATAGGATAAAGTACATGAACTTGTTTTTCTAACCTATAGTGGGGATAAAATTTTTTACCTTTATTTTTTATTTGAAAAAGTTTACCTTAGGATAATTTTTAGTCATCTTGTTTTTTTAAAATAAATACTAGAATTGTTTTAAAAATGTAATCAACCTTATCTGAAATAGAATCTTGTTCACTATTCTACTTTTTATCCTAATTGCAATTTAATGGCTTACCACTGCCTTCAGGAAGACACCAGAAGTCTTTTATGCAGAAGAATGTGTTTTAGGACATAGTAATAAACTCATAATTGAAAGGTTTTCTTAGGCTCCGCTGAGGAAGAAATGCCAATCAGCCACAAAGTTAGGCAATGTAGAGCTTTATTGGGGTTTGTGCACCCGGGCCAGGTTCTCTCGTACCCAGAGTGTGGCAGGGGAAGTCGCTGCCCGCGCAGGGAATATGGCGGGGTTTTATTTTGGTTTGTTCTCTTCGTGAGAGCTGGGGATTGGTCCGCATTGAACAAAGTGGCAACATATCATTGGTGGCTTTCCTTGGGCTCACACTGCTATGCGGATATCCCTTTTGGCAAAGCCCGCCCTTTCGGCTCTCTGGTTTGACGTCAGCGGTCTTTTCCGGGTTGTAGTTCAGCCGCCATTTTGGGGTTGTTCAGCCGCCATTTTGTCTTACCCCGCCCATCCTGACAATAATACCCACTAGATTAATTTAGCATGTATCAAGGAGACAGCTTCATTTCTATAGCTAGGTTTTTGTATTCAATAAGCCTATTAGTACCTGGCTTTGTTCTATTTTGTTGATTATACAAAGTAAGACTGCACTGGTAAGGAAATAGCCATTAAGGAATCTTTTTGGATCATCTATTTAAGTGTTTTTTTTCATGAGGTACCTTTCTACTTTCTATTTGTTACTGGACACTTTATTTATTTTTTTAAAGATTTTTTATTTAATTTTTTTTTTTTTAGAGAGAGGGGAAGGGAGAGAGAAAGAGAGAGAGTGACATCAATGTGTGGTTGCCTCTCACACGCCCTCAACTGGGGGACCTGGCGCACAACCCAGGCATGTGCCCTGACCCGGAATCAAACTGGAGACCTTTCTGTTAGCAGGCCGCCAACGCTCGACCCACTCAACCCACTGAGTCACACTAGCCAGGGCGTTGCTGGACCCTTTAAAGGCCATTTCATTATTTTGCCATTTCCTTAGATACCAAAATCAGCTATCAACTACAAATATTTTCTCTGTTGTATATTCAATTTATATCTCCCAGAAATAAAATACACTTTATTTTAAAGTACCCTTTTAACAACTATTTTAAATGTGTAGTTGTTAACCACTAGAGTCAGACATAGCAATATCAGATAATTAACCCTAATACCTTTCATTGATTTGTTAATGAAACACTGATGGCTTCTGACCGAGTCTTTTCCTGCCACTAGGGGGCGTGGTTTTCCTTAGCTGCTAAAACTCTACGATAAAAGTCTGTTTTTTTTCCCCCCCCCAGAGTTTTGGCAAGCCCTGCAGACCGCTTCTTGATGTTTGGCTTTTTTTCATTCAACTTATTTCTTAGGATATTTATGCTTTCAAATTCCTGGAAAACCAAATTCAAATCCGAAACACCCTACCTGTACATTTGAATAATCTCAAAGGACACAGTGTGAGAATCTGTTGCCTAACCTATATTGGAAGTGACAGCAGCTTGAATTTGTAATATCTGTACCTGAACTAGAATTTTGTCTGTTATTTCAGGTGTTGCCTTTCATGTGAAAAATTTTAAAGCTTTAAATGGCACATTGAAATAACAAGAAAATACTTATTTCTATTATACCTTTATAAACTTCTGACATTTTAAATATCATTAGTCAATAATGGAGAAAGAGGCAAGTGCATTCCAATGCATTTTTACAATCCTTGAGTTAATTTACTTTCAAAGATTATAAAATGAGATTACTTAGTAACTTTATTAGCATACTAGAAACAGGAAAAATGTGGACATTAAAAGAGAAAGTTGCACTGTATAATAAAGACACCTTAAAAATATTCAAGTAGAGCCCTGGCTGGTGAGGCTCAGTGGATTGAGTGCTGGCCTGCAAACCAAAGGGTCACAGGATCTATTCCAGTCAGGGCACATGCCTGGGTTGAGCGCCAGGTCCCCAGTGGGGGGCACTCAAGAGGCAACCACACATTGATGTTTTTCTCCCTCTCTTTCTCCCTCCCTTCCCTGTTCTCTAAAAATAAATACAGTCTTTAAAAAACATTCAAGTAGAGTTCAAGTAAAATTAAAATGTACATTTTAGGAAAAAGAAGAGACTAGGGAAGTATTGTGGTATATTCAAGGGCATGTGCTTTGGGGTTTGATTAGTGTACCTATTACTACTAGCTTTATGACTTTTGGTAAATTATTTAATATCTCTGAGCTTTAGTTTCCTTATTTTTGTAAACTTATGTCAATACCTCATTCGGTAGTTTGGATTAAATGAGACCATATGTGTAAAGCACTGAGTACTGTGCCTGCAGTGTGGTAGGTGCTCAATAAATGCCATTCTCTGCTCAATCCAGAGGGGTGGCACTATAACTGGTTCTTACTCATTCTGGAGAGTCTCCCTCTGGAAAAGAGGAGACTCAGTCTGTTATTGAGATTCCATCTAGAAGTGTAACTATCCCCATGTAAAGAGTTCAGTCTTTTCATGGTATCATAGCTATAAGGCTACGTTTGGAAAATGTATTTTTTTTAGTTAAAATAACAGCAGTTAGCTATTTATTTATCAATTGCTTACAGCATGCCAGTACTATTCTAAGTGCATTATACATATTAACTCATTCAGTCCTCACAAGAAATGTGTTAGGTAGGTACTATTATTGTCCCCATTTTAATTGGATGCAGGAACTGAAGCCCGTAGAGATTTACCTGCTCAAGTTTTTGCAGCTATTCAAGTTTTGGATCTGGTCCAAAGCCAGGCAGTCCTGACACTAGGACCCAAATTCCTAGCCACTCGTCTGAAATGGTTAAAGCATTTCTTTCATGGACCTCACTGGATGCGTTGTGTAGTGATAGGAATATTTGGAGAGTATTTCATACTTATTTTATCCTTAAAAACACATTCTCCTCCACATGTTTGGTACTATTAAAATAATTGAAATAATTATTTGGGAAATTCCAAATATGTTCTGAAATTTTCAACAAAAAGAAATTACCCTTAATAAAAATAACTGGTGAGAAAAGTAACAAAATGTTTAGGTGCTAAAGAAATCATTTATAAAAGTAGACATGACACTTCTAAGTGACTTTTAAAATTAATTTATTATCATGTTTTCAACAAACAATAGCACCTAATTGGACTAAATGTATTTTATTGCACCCACAAAGGAAAGCTTTGGGTTTTTTTTTTCAAATATGAAAGAGAAGAGCACCTTGAACGCTGTAGAGGTTTATTTGGCTGATGGATTTTCCATTCTGCATTCCTTCCAGCTGTGTTACAGTGTTGCTCTCCTTCCACCCACATGGACGCTCTCAGTAGTTGCGTGGCTCCCACTGCCTCTACCTATGCCCACTGCAACTACTTCCAGGTAAGATCTTGGGACAACGGACATAGACTCTGTGTATCAGGTGCAACAGTATTGCAGAATTTCAAGATGCAATTTTATCTTAATGAGTAGCCAGAGGTAAGCTGTGGATTATGGCCTCAGTTTTCTCAATTCTAAGAAAGAGAGTTAATGTAAATGATACCTGAGGATTCTTCTGGGCCTGCACTGTCCAATATAGTAGACAGTAGCCACATATGGTTATTTTAATTAAAATTAAATAAAATTTGTCCTTCAGTCACACTGAGCTCATTTCAAGTGCTCAGTAGTCTCATAAGGCTAGTGGTTACCAAAATCGTACAGCACAGATAGAGAACATTTCCAGCATTGTGGAAAGTTGGTTAGAATCATGCTATTCCAGGCTCTTCCATGGTAAAATGAATACCAGATGAACTCTGAAAGTATATGTCGCCAAATGACAGATTCTTCCAAGATGGTATAGATAATTACTCTTTTTAAGGAGAAAAAGATGATGTAAAAAAAGAGAAATTTAGGGCTGGTCCCCTTCAGCACCCATGTTGTAAACAATGTACTTCAATTATCAATTATCTTCTCATTATTTACTATGAAACAGTTGTTTTAGACTGATATTTCTAGGATAAAGTAAAATTGTATGCTTTGTACTTTATGCTATAATTGCTTAAAGATTGGAATTATGTGTTTGCCTTTGATATCATGTAGCCAAGACAGCTTCTGTTCTTAAGAGAATATCTTATGAGTGGCATTCCAGTGCTCAAAAGCACATTCCTTTTTAAATCTCTTTTTGAGAAAAAGAACATTTTTTTTTTAGAAAGTCTACATGGGAAATCAAATTATAATTGGATTGTTGTTTGGAGAGTATAGAATCAGATTAAGGGGGCTTAGTGGACATTTTTAATGGCAGGTATCATCAACCATGATAGTCTAGTCTATTTGTCTTGACTACAGGGACATACCTGTCATACAAATTAGATGCTTTTGTTTGTGAATCCAGACACTCTCTCCTCTGAATCATTCTGGTGATACTCTGAACTGTTCGTATCTTGATTATGTTTGTCTTAAGTCATTAAAAAACATCTTTAAAGACCTTTTCTTACTACAAGGGCAATGCATGTTTATTGTAGGAAAAGAAAGCTAAGTAGACATGAAATTTTTAAACAGAAAGAAAGGGGAAGTGTTTCCAATGCCGTTCTGGAAATAAATGCAGTGAGCTGGATGGTAGGTGTGAGTGGCAGTGTGCAGGGGTGGCCAGTTCATTGTCTGGTGTAGTGGTTAGGAGCCAGAGCTGCTGAGTCAGGCAGCCCTGAGTTTGAAACCCGGTTCTCTCAGTTATTTCAGTGCAACTGTGTGTAAATTATGAAGTTTCTCTGAACTTAGGTTTCGTCATACGGAAATGGAGATTCATAGACTTCTTGTAACGATTAAATTAAGTAACATACATGGAGCACTTTTCCCATGCTTGGCACATAGTGAGAACTCAATAAATGGTGCTGTTGGCTGTACTAAAGTTGCTTGATACTTAAACCATTAAATTACATGGTTTACATGATTTGGCATTAGTGTTCTTCAAATCACTGACACAATCATTATAGTGTGTTTGGCAGCATTGACACACTATGGGTTTTATTTAATCATAACTTCTGTACTTTAGGTTTATAATCTGAGATAATCAACATTTACTGAATGCCTACTCTGTGCAAACCTCTGCATTTGGCAACATCGACTCATTGCATGTTTCTTTTGTTTGTTTTTTAATCCTCACCCGAGGATATGTTTAATTGATTTTTAGAGAGAGAGGAAGGTGGGGGCTGTAGGGAGAGAGAGAGGCATCAATATAAGAGAGAAACATTGATCAGTTATCTCCCATACATGCCCCAGTTGGGTATCAAACCTGCAACCTAGGTATGTGCCCTGACTGGGGATTGAATCCGCAGCCTTTTGGTGTAGGCAATGATGCCTCAACCAACTGAGCCACCTGGATGCAGGAACTGGCCAGGGCTCATTACATGTTTTATTTAATTATTACTTTTTTAGTATGTTATGTTCATAGCTTGAGATCATTTATCACCAAACATAATTGAATGCCTACTCTTTGCAAAGTGCAATGTATAAGAGAATACATCTTAAAGATCAATCTAGAAATGACAGCTATTTTAATCTATTATTTTATTATTAAAAATAAACAATCTCAGGAACCAATAAATAGAATATTCATTTTTTTCTCAGATAATTTGGAATAGTACCTCCCCCTAAATCTATAGAAGATGAATCTAAAAGTGACAGCTATTTTTAATCTATTGTTTTATTATTAAAAATAAACAATGGTGAGCCAATTTCACCCCAGTAAATTTAATAAAAAAGAATCACTTCGACTTCTGTACAGAGAATAGAGAATAAAGGATGGAAGCAGTGAGCCTGTTTAGAAGCCTGCAGTCTAATCCAGAAGAGATGTGGCGGAACCAGGGAGTGACGGTGTTAACAGGCTGGATTCCGTTAGGTTTAGAACTCACAAGATTTGTTGATGAACTGGTGATGAAGAGAGAAAGGATCAAGGAGAGAGTTTTTAAATGATTTAAGAAGAGTAGAGATGCCACTACCTGAGGCAAGAAAGTCAGAGAAGCAGTTTTATTTTCCCAGAAAATTGGCCATTACATAGTAGACACTTGGATATTATTTGTGAATTAAATTTAACTGAATAAACTCCCCAAATAAAACAGAAGTGAATACATACGTACATACATACATATATACAATCTCAAAAACCAAAGGACATTTGATAATCCACTCATTTTTCCCATATCATTCACTTGGAACTGTACCTCCCCCTGAATCTATGGAAACACTGCTGGACTTGAGAGCATCCTGTGTTTGAAATGTCCTTACTGCATTCCTAAAACAGCATATGATAGATACAAGTGATGTTTTATCTGTCAGCCTTCATGGAAGGACTTGATATATACACATTTTTTAAGTTTGATTTTCTTTATTTATTGTTAGAGAGAGGGGAAAGGAGGGAGAGAGAGAAAAAAAGAAACATCGATCAGTTGCGTCTTGCATGCACCCAACCAGGGACCTGGCTCACAACCCAGGCATGTGCCTTGACTGGGAATCAAATTGACAACCTTCCAGTTTGTAGGGCAATGCCCATCCCACTGAGCCACACCAGTCAGGGTGGTATATAGACATTTTATCAGCAAATTAGGTATTTGGGTACTTTAGGCTTTTCCTTTTATATACTTTAACCCTGAGAATTGATGGTCCATTCCAGTATTAACATAGGAAGTGACAGACATCTATATAATAGTTGCTAAATAAAGGTTAACAATAGAATTGAAGCTACCACTGCTGAAAAGTTGATTGCTGTTCAGGTTTTTTAGTAAGTTTTAGTTTAAGTTTACTCTATTTATGTTTAGTGTTCATCAGTCTATATGTTGTTTCTTTCCTCCTTAATCTCATATTTGATTTTCTATCCAAACAGTCCTGTTTTCTTTTTTCCCAGAATCCTCCAATGCAATCCTCCTATCCAGTTGAATTTCTGCCTTCTAATTGGCCTTGCAGTACCACTGATGAAAATAAAAAGACAGAAGTAAACCTAGAGGCTGTTTTTCGCATCTTAGATGAGTTGCATTCCTCCCCTAAATTGGAGATGGTAAAGGTGGAGCCTGTTGAGAATCAGTGCCCAATATCTCAGTCTAACAGAGGCCAACATATCCTACCTAATTCAAGCAACAGCAATTCATCTTCCACAAGTCAGGCTAGCCAGCTGGAGCCACTCACTCCTGTAGGTTCAGATATTACATCTTTTGTGGTTGGAACAGAACAAGCAATTACCTGCTCTCTACCACAATCACCTGAGTACATGTATACCATCCACACAGCTCAGCCTGTTGAAAATACTACCATGCAGGAATCTCCAGCCATCCAGCAAACTCATGTCAAACTGAAGGAGCAGCTAAGTAAGAATCCATCTCCATCTTCAGTAGTATTTGTGCAGGAAGGGCTGTCATTCAGCCCACATGAGGTAAGGGGAAAAGAAAAAATGCTAATAAAGCTTAAAGTTTCTAGTTTTCTTGCTGCTGTATTGGAGAGTTGTTCTTATTTTATTGGGGTTTGATATTAATTCATCATGCTTTCTAGAAGGATCATGTCCCAGTGGTTTTGCATAAAATATTCAGAAAAAAAATAACCTTAACCTTCAGGTATCCTCTCACTGTCTTATGGTCTGAAGTCAGCTTCTAGAGAGGCAGTCTGAGCATTGTGGTATAAGACTTATTTTTATGTTAAAAGCATTTGTGGAGTCTCGCTTCCTCTTAATTTGGATGGACTAGGTGCGCTTGGCTGATTAAATTCCACTGCTTAGAAGGGATGGTTTATCTGACAGGTAATATTAGGACTTCCTAGCCTTTTGTAGCATGGAACTAAGCATGTGGTTGGACATCTTTTTACACTTTCTTACAGCATTATTGAATTCTAATTGAGTTTCCTTACTAATACCTGTATCCCTAAAGCACACCTCTGACTCTGGTTTGACAGACACATTCTGTACATAGAGGCTAATTCCTTTATTGCTGCTAGTTTTGACCAGAAAATGAATAAACTCTTATTCTAAATAAAAGTACATACAAAATAAAATCACTCTTTAAGAATTAACTTAAGTATTTTTTCCTTGATCTTAGCCTGAAACACACACACACACACACACACACCTTTAATTTTTTTCTTCAATGGCACTGAAAATATCTTTATTGTTAGAGATTCCCAAGATAACTTTTAGGCAGTTTTTAAAATGCATTCTTTTTCAACTCTAATTATAGGTGTAAATGTCTTGGGTATCTATGAACTTACTGTTTTGGGGGGATTTTTTTTGAGCCCAACTGTTGACACCCCATACATCATGTGTTAAAATAATGTAAATTCAGCAGACCAAATATAGGCCCATTATGTTTCAAATATGCTAATGAAAAATGTATCTTTGTTCCTGCATAGTAGCATCCAAAATATTTGATTTCATACTTTAAAATTGCATTCACACAGTTACTTTAAAAAATATATTTGAACATGGAGTATTTCAGAAGTCAGTCACCTTGACAAAGGGATTTGACATTCCAAAGAAAACTGAGGAACTCATCTCTCATAAGCAGGGAAGATCTAGATTTTATAAGGGCTGAGGACTTCTGTAAGGTGAAGACTAAAAAGTTGGTAGAATAAAGTATCCACAGCTGCACCAACATCATCCGACAGGATCATGCCTGTGACCTTCCAGTATGACCAACAGGAAGGGAAAGCTGACGGAAGGGACGCTAGAGTGGAAAAAGACAGTGATCTTAACTGTTTGTAAATTTTGTGTGTGTGAATTTTACAAAAAAAAAAATCAGTAAGCTTCCTGGTAAGTCTGAGTACAAGTAAATGTTTTAGCTGCACATGTCAGTGGTCTGTCTATGGGCAAATATATGTCCTAACACTGAACGTTCAGATTAAAGCAACGAAATTAAAGGTGGCATTCATAAGGATGTTTACAAGCATGTTTATTGGATCATGTTACTATAATAAAACTCCTCTGATAAAATTTCTGAGCTTTTAGTGAATATTTGGAGAACGTTCAGAATAATGAGTGGGTTTAATATTTTAGGTGGATGCCAGTATAAAATGCCAGACTAGTCCACCTGAGAATATTTTGCCTTCAGAACAGATGGGATTCCTCATTTCAGAGATGGGGCCTGCTAGCAAGCCGAGTAGAGACACAGGTTTATCCACTCCGGCCAGATACAGAGAGCGAAGAAGCAACTCACGGCAAGGAAAGTCCCCTGGTAAGGATTACTGCGCTCTAGAACGTTGGAAGTAAAACCATGGTGTAGAATTAATATATGAATGACACATTTTCTGAGTCTTCACTAGTTGTTAATTGTAAGATACTTATCACATTGCTATTTTATTTAGGTATAATTTTAACTCATATTTTTTCTTAATTATCCTTGTAAAGTATATAAATGTTTTTTGTCCAATATTTCATGTAAGAATTTGAGCTTTCAAAAAGATAGAACATATTAAGTAAAAGCAAAGGAATTTGGGTTATTTAACTTGGAGAAGGCAAGGGTGAAGGGTGATTTAATAACTGCTTCAGATGCCAAAGACTTTGTAATTGTAGATGTATTTGTTCTCTTATTAATAGACTGTAGGACAAGAGGGAATGTGCTTAAATTGTAGCAGGAAAAAATTAGATGAACATTAAAGACATTACCCTGAATGTGTTATAAAGATATGAATGGACCCTGACTGGTGCCGCTCAGTGGATTGAGCATGGGCCTGCAAACCAAATGGTTGCCGGTTCGATTCCCAGTCTAGGAGGGCACATGCCTGGGTTGTAGGCCAGATCCCCAGTAGGGGGGCATGTGAGGGGCAAGCACACATTGATGTTTCTCTCCCTCTCTTTCTCCCTCCCTTCCCCTCTCTCTAAAATAAATAAAATCTTTTAAAAAAAAAGATATGTATGGCTTTATCGGTGAGATTGTTTCCCTTGTGATCTGTAGGAGCTGAGAATTAGTGATTATTTTAGGCACATGTAGTTGGTTCTACTCTTTGTAGGCCTACAAAGGTGGCAAACATAAGGCCCACGGGCCGAATCCAGCCCTCCACCTTGTTCCTACCCAGCGGCAGCGCTGAGCTCTCGCTTAACTGTTAAGGAGTAGTTACATTTATACAGTCCTCAAGTAACATTCGGCCCTTTCAAGGCAACCGTGAGGCTGATGTGGCTCTTGGCGAAAATGAGTTTGACACCCCTGTTTAGGGAAATTGAGCAAGATAATTTTTAAAGAAAATAGTGACAATCTAACAAAATGTTTTTCTTATGTGATCCAAAAACAAGTTACCTAAGTCTCCACTGGACAGCTTTAATATTCTTCAGTTATATCCATATTGGAGGCATGAAATTCAGTAGAATTAATCAGGTCAAATAATCATTTTATAACCTTTAAAAACTTGAAAAATGTTAAGAGATTCTGTGAGAATTTCCCCAAAGGTAAACTGATAGTGGTATGATCGAGATGTTGCTCAGATTCCTTGGGTTCTTTATGCAAGATTAATTGATTTTTAAATGTTAAACTGTGTTATTCACCTTATTAGCAGAATAAGGGAGAAAAACTGTATGACAATTTCAATACATATGGAGAAAACTCCTGACAAAATTTAGGATTCATTCATAATAAAAACTCTGGATGAAGCAGAAATAGTGGAAAATTTCTCAAATTAATAAAGAGCATCTATAAAACATGTCTAGTGAAGACCATAATAAATGGTGAAAGACCACACTGTTTAGTCCCCAGAGATTAAGATGCCCACTTTGACTATGTGTATTCCATATTGTACTGGTGGACCTAACCATTCAGTAGACAAGGATCTGAAAAGGCATAAAGATCAGAAAGGAAGAAATAAACTATTTGCCTTACTATTTGTAGATGATATGATTATTTATGTAAAAGTAGGGAACCTATAAATCAACTACTAGAATAAATTAACTTACTGAGGTTGCAGAAAATAAGTTAGTATGGAAAAACTAATTGTATTTTTATAAACTAGCAACACAACTGGAAAATGGAAATGTAAAAAGGCAAACATTTACAGTAGGACCCAAATCATAAGGTACCTAGCAATAAACTGAACAGAAATGTCTAAGACCTCTACACTAAAAAATATAAATTTTGCTAAAAGAAATTAAGTCATAAATGGAAAGATATGTCATGTTCATGGATAAGAAGACCCAATATTGTTAAAGTGACAGTTCTCCCCAATTGATTTATAAATTCAATGCAATCCTAATGGAAATTGCAGAACTTGGTCACATGATCAAACTAGCTGCGGGGGAGCTTGAAAATGCAGTCCTTACCTGGGGACTATCTGCCTATTTAAACTACACCATGATTTAAAGGAAGAGTAAATATTGATATTAAGAGACAACTAGAACTCTGTTACATGGGCTAAGAAAAAATATGTACAACTCAAAATATAAAGCTTTGCATCCATAAGCATAAAAGCTTCTATAAATCAATAAAAAGGCAACCCAATAAAAGTAACTAAAATGATATTAATGCACAATTCAGAAGAAGAACTACAACCAATCTGAATATAAAAATATGTTGAACCCTCAGAGAAACGAGTAATCAGTTAAATGCAAATTAAATCAACTAAAAATTTTTGGGGCTAATCTGATTGGCAAAACAAACTACTGCTAGTTCCAAGTTTGATAAAGGCATAGGAAAAAAGGAACCTCCTATACACTGTTTTGGAATGTAAATTTGTAGGACTGTTTGGAGGACAATTTGGCATTATCTATAAATGACTACATCGTTCATGTGTTTTGATTCCTAGGAATTCCACTCCTAGGAATCTCTCCTACAGAGTTTACTATAGTGACTGGTAACAGCAAAAATTTGGAAAAAGCATAAATGCCTGATAATAGGGAACTAGATAAATTCTGATAAACTCATGTAATAAAATACCATGCAACCATTTAAGAAAAAGTAACTGGATATGTTGTTACATGAAAGATAGCATTTGTAATACGTTAAGTGAATGAAGCAAGTTGCAGCATAATGTACCTTAGGACAGTCCAATTTCTAGAAAGACTGAAGGAGGGAGAGGTAGCCCCAGCTGGAGTGGCTCAGTTGGTCGGAGTGTCCTCACGTAACCAGTGGGTTACAGGTGTGATCCAGTCAGGCTTCTCTCTTGCATTGATGATTTTCTCTCCCTTCTCTCTCTAGAAGCAATGAAAAAATGTTTTCGGGTGAGAATAAACAAAGTAAATTAAGTAAAAGTGCATACTATATAATTATAGAAAAAGGGCCAGAAGTATATAACACTGATACATGTAACATTTGGGTGTGTGGCACACTTTTCTGAAGATTTGGGGAGGTAGAAAGGGTTTGCATTTAAAATATTGCAAATAATTGAATGGAATGTTGACCATCCTTCTTTCTGAAAGCCCTTCAGTCACGTTTTCACGTTTCCACTTTCTCACCGTTCCTTGTCACTAGTCAGTACAGCCTCGGCCGTGCTGCCCTCTCCCCTTATCCTGGCACCATCCCGGCTCCTCTCTGGTCCCTTCTTTTCCTGTTCTTTCTCCAGGTCCCGAGTTCTGCCTCTTACGCAGGCAGAGGAGGTCAGGTATCTCTTCTGTTTCCTAATGTCCTTGAGGCCGCACCTTCGCCCACCCACAGCCTGTCGAGATACATGCCTCAACGATGATAGTTACCTTCCCAAGAGGAACTCTGGTGCCTGCTGTTAAAATAGTAACTTCCTCTCTTGCACTACATAATATGGTTTTAAGTGTTACTGATAAAATAATTAGCACATTAGTTATCCTTAACTTTTCCTGTGTTTCTTGTTCCTGAGTAAAACCTTATCCTTTGGTTAGTGGTATTGATAAATGAGTCCTAACTGACCTTGGCTTCCTGCTGTGAAACAGAAGAGTTGTGGAATATTGGCATTATTATGACATCTAGTTACATTTTCATTTCAATAGGGTCGGGAGCAAATGACTGACTTAGGTTTAAGCTAGAACCTCTTTGCTAAAAAGCTGGCTTTTGTGATGAAAGTGTAAGCAGCCATATAATTTATAAACTTGCGAATTATTATTCCTTGGCAGAATTTAGCCTAACAGTTGGTCTACGAAAGCATGATTCTATGGCATTAAGAAACCTTACCCTAAGTCAGTGTGAGATTTACTGTTAGATAATTTTCAAATGACTGACATCGCTTAAAATTCCCAAAGCCACTCTGCCATCTTCTCTGTGCCCCAACTTCCAGCCCCGCCTTTCTCTTCATTTTCAGCTATGATCTTGTTGCTTATTTTCCTGAGAAAAGAGAAGCAGCTAGAACCTTCATATCTTCCCATCAGCAAATCAACCTCCTGTTACGATCCTACCCCTTAGCTTTCATCCTGTCACAGTGGGAAAAGGCAGGCCCTTTAATTTGTGTACCGATTCCCATCCCCTTTTGTGTGCTTATGGACTTAGTACTGGTAGCTATTCATTCCCCAATTATTCTTCAAAAATCACATTTTACCTTTTATGTTCGATCATTCCTGTTAGCATATAAATATGCCATCACAGGTTCTATGTTAGAAGAAATTCCCCTTTCCTTCATTCACAATTCCATCCAGTTACTACTCTGTTTTTTGTTGTTGTTGTTCCCTTTTAAGAAAAGCTCCTTGGAAGCATATACTTACCTCAGCCAGGTTTTCCAATCAGGGTTTCATTCCTGCCACTCAACTAAAACTGCCCTCGTCAAGGTCCAGCAACTGCCTCGTTGCCACGTCCAATGGTCAGTTCTTGGTCCCCGTTTTACTGTCACCTCAGCAGCATTTGGACAGACTGCTCTAACCTTCCTGAAGGACTTTCTTCACTAGGCTTCTGGAACATCACCCTTTCTTGGTTTTCCTTCAACCTCACTGGCCATTCCATAGTTCGTTCTACTGAACCTTCATCTTCTCTAACCCCTAAATATTGATGAGTCTCAGAGCTCAGTTCTTAGACTGCTTTTCTCCTCTCTCTATTTAATTCCTGTGTAATCTCAACCAGTCTCATTGCTTTTATCATCACCTTCCTTGTGGTGACTCCTCAATTTGTACCTCAAGTCTCAAACTTCTCTGAACTCCAGACCCGCATACCATATTGCCTGTGCTACATGTTTGTCTGGATGTCCAATAGGTATTCCAAACTTAGTGTATTCTACCCTTTCCCCAGTTTTACTTATTTCAAGTAAAAACTAGTACTTCTCATCACTTCTAGTCAACCAAAAACCTTAGGGTCTTCCT